TTCGTTTAATACAACTACAACTGTACATTTTTTTGGCCCCGTAGCAATTGTCACTCAACAGAATTTGTGACATAACATCCCTGTAACACTCAATGCAAAACAGTTCTGTAGTCTCTCTCGTCAGCACTTTTCTTGTTGGATTGGGTTAGGACCACCAAGAATATCGACATACATATTCTTGTATACACCTTTTCTCTCAGCAATTTCAATCATCTCTGGACAGATATCAAGTGCATCCAGGTTGTTATATCCTAGTTGTTGGAGGCATTTTCCAACCAATCCCGTCCCCGCGCCTGCATCTAGTATTCGGGCATCCTTGTCTTTAATCCATGTTGCCAGTGTCTCAGCCGCTTTGCGAGGTGCCACGTAACCTATTTCATCTGAAACCTCTTTGTCATATTGAGCAGATCTCTTGGCGTAATGATTACGAATGTCTGTTGGAGAACTCCTCCATTTCAATCCGAATGCTGCCGATTTGTGAGCCATTTTACTGGAAAAGCAGTGCAATAACTAAGTATATGGTAATTAATTTAGACTAAAAGGTATCAGAATATTATGTATAAAAATATTAAAGATGATATCTGCATAACATGAAATACTGCATTGTCGCCACTCACGGCACATGTATTTAATAAATATAAGAATATGGGATCAAACTCGTCAAACTCTTAGTACCTGTCAGGAAAAAAATAGATACATAAAAATAAAATAAATAAAAAAATATATAAGCAGCTTCCTTTTTAGTGGGGTCGGCCATATTTAGTCGGCGGATCAATTAGTCCGCGGGTCATATGTTTAGAATGCACTCTAATACTCTGAATTAAAGTAAATACTGTTAATGTGAAGAGATATTTCGGTTGGGTATGGTACGTAGTCAAAGTATAGAGCTTAATTGTTGCCGAATTGTTGTTGGTTCACGTGAGAAGTTTTGTTCATTTGAAGGCTCTCGTTTGACAGAAAGGCCGCATTCACAACAGCGGACTAACTAGTCTGCGGATCAAATATGAACGACCCACTTGAATTCTTGTTACGTAATCCCCGCTGGGAATCTTTTCACTATTGATGACAGCGCGTATAGAATGGCGTTTGTATTAGCCCGCTCAGCACCTGATGCTAATGTAGTAACAAGTAACGTGTACGGATACAATTATTTAAATCTGTGTGTAGAGATGGACTGGGTGAAAAGGAATGAATAAAGGGGGGGGGCGCTTGCACGACAGCGTTTCCATAACTATGAAATTTATATTCTATTACGCGATACAAACAGTTCATGTTCATCTGAAGAGACGCATCAGAACATGTAATGCTCACATCTAAATACTCTCTGATTCAGAATCCCTGCCTTGTAACATAACGTTAATATAAGATGTGCAAACTTCTTAGAAACATTCACCTCTGTGTATAGATTGACATATTTTCAATTTCTTTTTTACTGGGGAAAGAGTAGTTACGCTTTTCAAATTCATTATAAAAAAAGCATGACAAAAACAAAATATAAATCCATCACCGTCTAGGTTACTTATTACAGACCGAGTCGTCCACTGTGTGTGATATATAAGAGTATAACAATCGAGGCGTTGCCGAATTATGCAAGTATACAGTACCAGATCAATACATAAATGATGAAATTATGCTTACCGTGTCTGGTGTATGTTAATGGAGAATTTAACGTCCTCACAGCTGATCTAAAGACGTGAATAAATAGTCCAAATGAAAGTCATGGGTAAGATCAAAATGCTCCTGACCTGTTGTACTGACTGCTTGTTGTATTTGGTTGACCTGTCACACGGAGAGCGATCACAGTAAGTGACACTGTGGGTGACCTTGATTTCATTATTTGTGACAGTCGTACGAAAACGCAAAACCCATTTATCTTGAGGCCAGTCTACAAAGTGCTAAGAAGGAAAGTTAAATGCGTTTATATCTTAGGGATCATTTCCAGTGAAACTTTTGTTCTACGTAGCTCGATCCAACTCCGCAGTGACTCTCGCTGAATGTAATCAGATTTGGATATTAGTACGCCTCATCTTGTTTCCAACATACGCGTATAATCACCATCTTTTCTGTAGTCTACTCATTGATCAACTCCAAGCGGANCCCCCCCCCCCCCCCCCCCGGTTACCAGCTTGTGAATTAAATAAAACAATGCATTATTTGAATATAGTGATCCGACTTTATTATTTATACAAATGTAATGATGTGTTGACATGATAGTTATATTTCCCAACTAGTAGCTAATAACGTCTATAAAGTGCTAGTTACTAAAAAAATTACCTGTTTCTAATATCTAGCACAAAGGCCCCCTTACTAAAATATTTTTTTTCTGTTCTACTGCCATAGTCCAGTCAAGGACGCATTCACATACAAGATATTGAGAACTCGGGTTGTTTACTTATTATAATACAAATATTTAAAACCACGTTGAACGTTTGTCTCTGTGTTAAAACAAACCTTCTCAAATGGGTTCACACAAAATTCTAAGCGGATATATATACTGCAAAGCCATTTTTCTTTTTAATAGAATTTCTGAAATTAAACTGCAATGTCAAATTCCTAAGTCATTATTAACAAGATATCAATCAAGTTGCGGTGACATGTTGCATGTTAAAGTTAACATGCCAAAACGTGAAAGTTTTAATTCTAATATCCCCCTTGAAGTAACATAACACAAAAAGGCACTAATCATTATCCTTCAGCACCCGGTAGGAATACATAAAACAGTCGTAGGGCATACGATAAGCAGTACGAGGGTTTGCTAAAAGTTCCACTTTTTTCTCACTTTCTAACTGTGGCAGTTTCTGTTTGAAATCATATTCGTTATCAGGATCTTCGGCGACGTCGACGCGCAGTGTGAAGATGATAACTCCATTGTGCCTGGTGATCCTGATCAGCTCATCTAACGCAGCGGCTCGTGTATGGGTAATGGCGCCAATGATTAACACTGCATCATACTGGTTGGAAGGCAGTTGAATTGGAGTCGGTCCTCCGAGAGTATCCACGTACATATTTTTATAAATGCCTTTCTTCTCAGCAATCTCAAGCATCTCTGGAGAGATATCAAGTGCATCCAAGTTGTTATATCCAAGTTGTTGGAGACATTCTCCAACCAACCCGGTACCTGCGCCTGCGTCTAATATGCGTGCATCTTTATTTTTAACCCATTTTGCAAGTGTTTCGGCCGCTTTCTTGTGTCCCGCATACCCAAGGTTATCTAATAGTTCTCTGTCATACTCATTAGCCCAGTCTGCATAGAACTCACGGATTTCTTGGTGAGAACTTCTTGAACCAAGTCCAGATGAATCCCAGGAATGGTCCCATTTAGATTTTTGCGACTGGTTTTGCGACATTTTCCTGAAAGAAAACAAACAGTTTCACTGAAGTACATGTTTACAACAGTTACAATGATGCGAGCCGAAAATTCTGAAAATCACGAATTGACGGCTATGATTACTTGGTTTCAAGAGGAGCAAAGAATTAAAGCTTCATTCACGAGTCATGGAAATGGGGTGTTTTACAGATCACACTAAATAATATTAACGTTCTCTGCATCTAGGGAAAAAGTGGTTTTCACGGATATACACAGTGGGACCCACACATAACGAACTTACTGTTACACTTCACTTTTTTTTACCATTAAAGCTGCCCGAAGCATTTTTCTCGGTCTACGGGCCTACGGGGCTGTGAAAAATGCTTGGAGGCAGTTGTTGAACAATCAGCAATCCTCGGCTGACTCCGCTACGCTCCACACAAGTCAAATGCGCGAGACATAGGAGTAGTTCCGAGTGGCTGTTGAATGCCTACATTATTAGGCATATACATTCAAGCAGGTTATTTGTAAATAATTGTAAGTGGTGCTAAATCTTGACGCTGGCTGTCCAGGAAAAGAATGACATTTCTGATGTATTTATAAGAGAAGAGGAGAAGGGAAAAAGCTAACACATTATTATGACTTCATATAATGTTTTTCAAAATTCCTTGAAAATACAAGAATGAACCATCCATCCAACCTTATAAACCCTTATTCTCGGCTCTTACCGTGTACCTGTCCAGAATCCTCCAGATATGTGCGGTTTTTCTTCTTTCCGTTATATCACTTCACTCACCAGGCATATGGTAAAATTATTACTTTGCACGGCAAATTTGTACTTTCTGATATTTTCCAAATGATAAAAAAACATTTATCCACTCATTCCCGAAGTTCTTGTGACATTGACCGTAATCTACAACGAACTTATACTGTTGCCTATCCCCTTGCGAAAGAAACTCGTGTTATTTGTAAATTACTTCTGTCTGACCAAACCTGTTATGGCGTGCGTAACGTATTATGACTTGTTATGACAACAGTATAAGGCTGCGTTCACATGAAAAATCTATTTTCTAAAAATCTAAAAATCTATTTGCGGTATCTTGTGATCACGGTCTGTGCCCTGAATATCCCACGGCGTAATTATGGGCAGCGCGAGCCAGTTACTTCCAAAGCTGTAATTAATTCTCGGCGCTGCCAGTAATTACGATTTTTAAATTTTTAGAAAATAGAGTTTTCATGTGAACGCAGCCTTAGTTCGTCCTAGATTACGGTCTGGAAAGGTACACGGTTAGATATTTTTAGTGATCAATATTTAAACTCATTCATTCCCATTGTTGTTGCCCAGTGTTGTGGACGTGCGGAAATGATTTTTTCTCCCTTATGCCAAGGTAAAGTTATTTCAGACTACTTAAGTCTGCACCCGTAAGATACACAAATACCTATTGTAGGGTTTCTATATTTCGACCGTGAGTAGGCCAATGCGATCTTACACGATAAATTGTTGTGCATGCCACATCCACCACAGCCAATTCTGATGCAGGCCCGTAGCGAGCAATTTCAAAGGGGGGGGGGTCTTTTTCTGAAAAAGTGGACCTTTTGTCGCAAAATATTTTTAAAAATTTTCAGTTTTTTATTGAAGAAAAAAGAAGGCGATGTTAATTATATGAACATTTAATTTTTCTGAAAAGTTTGAATACAATATTTCATTAGTAGTGAATATAAGTGAAAAATCAAACAATATTCTAATTATTGTTGTTATAATAATAATAATAAGTACAATATAAAAAATTCAGAATATCCTTCAATTTGACAGCACATGGTAAATGATATCATATATCACAGACCGAATATACAAAAAAAAATTCACTTACTATTAACTGCAACTACCATCATATATCTAAAAAATCATATATCTAAAAAAGAAAAAAGAAAAATGTTACCAAAATGTGTAAAAGAGATACACTGCCTCCATCAATACTGTGAAATTAATTCAACATTGCAAAATACAAACTGGTACCATTGAAAAGAAGATACATCACTAATTAGTATTGATGAATCAAAACTGATATATTTCAGTAATAAAAATATAATTCCAAATCATTTTCACAAGTACACTGACACACAAAAAGTCTAACTTGTTTAATTGGGTTAACTGGGTATATTTTCCCTAAATGACAAAATATTTGTAATTCATGATGTACAATAAATATCACATAAAAACAATGAGAAATCACTGCATTTAAATACAACAAAAAATGGATTAATCATTACAAGCACAATGTTAAAACCGAGTTTATTTGCCTAATCATCCAAGATGATGCAACAGTGCATTATAGCACAAAAGGCTATTTGAGTAACTGAATGAAACACGTATGCTGTGAAACACAGTGTAAAACAAAATTGTAAAATTCAACTGTCTCAGTACTGAACCCGACTCCACACACTGACTTCGAGATGTTTCCTTATATCTAGGTGGCTCATTTTCTGCAATATGAAACAAAGACACATTCTTTTATCATTTACTTCACAAATAAATTGTGCGTGTCTACTTAATTAAACATAATTTTGCCTCAGGTTTCATCAACACATTTTGGAAGTACGGAATTTTTTCTTCAATGGCATCTACTATTGCACTATAATAAAAAAATTACATGGCCTACTGTTTCAGTCAAAAAGGAATGAATATTTTGTTTAAGTCTTTTAACTGGATAATTTTTATTTGTTTTATAGGATCATCTAAGAATAATATCAATCAACAGTACAAATGCATCACTTCCCATCTGTGGTAGACCAAGCACTTTATCTTCAATCTTGTCTAAGAAATGCCTCCTTATCTGAGCAAAATTCATATAAGAAACATCATCAAAGAAATTTAATTTCTCAAAATTTAATGTAAAAATTACATTTCAAGCTAATTTGATGTTTTATATGCCTACATTAATACCTCCAAAAATAATATACTTAAACTCAATTATGCCTTTGACTTTTAAAAAATGTGAAGAATTATTGACTAAAACTGAAATGCATTACCAATTTAATACTGACACTACCCCTGGAAAGAGGATGCTGCTGCAAACAGTTTTTTATCTGGAGCAAATTTCTCTGACCAAGGCCTGAGGCACAATCTAAACAGAAAAGGGGAATACATGTTGACTTACGTGTGTAAACAAAATGAAAATGGTGGGATTGATATGGCAAATTTCTAGATATTAATTTTTTTGGGCACAAAGCAAAAGTATGTATCAAATCTACAACCAAATTTACTAATTCACTTTCAATTTTGCATCATAACAATTAAAAAATATATTTAACATGATTTATATGACAAAATCTCATAGATAACTTCAAGATTTGAGAAACATATCATGTTATTGCAAATAAACTAAAATTTAAAAACCTCACCACTATCAATCTTTCTCCTTTTTCTGGGGTAGAGATGAAATCCAAGATAGAAGTACAACCTTAAGCTGCTCTTTTTCTCTTTTTTTTCTTTCCTTTAGTAACCAAGATACCATCTTGGAAAATATATTTTTTTCTTCCAGAGAGATCGCTGAAGATCAACAATTACAAAACACATATATCCATTTAAATTAACTGAATGATGTTCTTTTTTGCACCAGAAAGGAAATATTAAGAAAAACAGAAAATGGACTTAATAAGTATACTAAGTAACTGTATAACTTCCAAAATAATAAACTAATCAAACTTGTTTTTCAACTGAAGCTGATATTAGTTCCTTAAATCTTTTCTACTAAGTTTAGGAATAGTTCGTGACGGGCCGTACACGTGACACCGGCACAAAAACATGGGATGCGAGGTAGGTTTTCAGCAATGGAATATTTGTGATATTTTTGAAAGCAAAATATGGCCGTATTTATCCATTTACTTGTACAGGGAGGATAAAAACACTACTGAACTTTCTATAGTAAGTTTTCAAGAAGTAAACATGACGAACAAAGGCAGGTTCTTTTAAAGGTACATATGAACCGAGCAGCGGTGAGGAGTGGTTTCCCAGTAACGCAAATAAACCACTTCTACTAGTTTCTTATACGACTCAAATAAATTCAACATGCCAAGGGATAAACTGAATAAATCACCCGATCAGCCTTAAAAGAGCTTATGACAGTTCATTTCTTTAAATTTTTGGTCAGAAATTAAACCTACTTTGGTGACTTACTTTTCTGCCACATTGATATACAACATAGAATGTTAGCAGAAAAATCCGTTCAAATATAATTTTTCGGATAAAATTAAACAATGCCTTCTGGTAATTCTCTTAGTTTTACTACTTGAAACTATATGCCGACATATTTGTTGGCTTTTGTGGCAAAAATTGACTTCATTTGCACCTTTAATATAACTACACCTGTATATGGCATTTTGTCTGTCCTGTAGCAATTCTGACTCAACAGAATTTGTAACGTTACATCCCTGTAACACTCAAAACAAATCATTTCTGTAGTCTCTCTCGTCTGCACTTTTACGTCAGGAAGTTGTTCCCTTATTGCAGCGTGGTGGGTTAGGAAGGAAAATATGCCACCTCGTATAGCATGGATGAGTCTTGGTCAAGGCTGAGTAAAAGAAGTCAACACATATTCATATTTACTGGATAGAAGCGTCACTTTGTTTTCAGATTCTATTGTTGGCAGTTTCTGTTTGAAATCGACTTCATCTGGATCTTCGGCGACGTTGACACGGAGTGTAAAGACGATAATACCATTGTGTTTGGTGATCCTGATCAGCTCAAAATCCCTACCTTGTAATATAACATTAATACAAGATGTGCAAAATTCACCTTCGTGTATAGATTTACAATTTTCAATTTCTTTTTTACTGGGGAAAGATTAGTTACGCTTTTCAAATTCAACACAAAAAAGCATGACGAAACGAAATATAAATCCATCACCGTCTAGGTTACATTTTACAGACGGAGTCGTCCACAGTGTGTGATATAACGTTATAAGAGTGTAATAATCGAGGCGTTGCCGAATTGTGCAAATATACAGTACTAGATCAATACATAAATGATGAAATTATGCTTACCGTGTCTGGTATATGTTAATGGTGAATTTAACGTCCTCACAGCTGATCTAAAGACGTGAATAAACAGTCCAAATGAAGGTCACGGGTAAGATCAAAATGCCCCTGTTTTACTGACTGCTTGTTGTATTTGGTTGACCTGTCACACGGAGAGCGATCACAGCGACACTCTGGGTGACCTTGATTTCATAATTTGTGACAGTCGTATGAAAACGCCAAACTCGGTAATCTAAAGGCCAGTCTACAAAGTGCTAAGAAGGAAAGTTAAATGCTTTTATATCTTAGGGATCATTTCAAATGAAACTTTTGTTCTACGTAGATCGACCAAAATCCGCAGTGACTCTCGCTGAATGTAATCAGATTTGTATATTAGTTGGCCTCTTGTTTCCAACATACGCGTATAATCACCAGCTTTTCTGTAGTCTACTCATTGATCAACTCCAAGCGGAGGGGAAAAGAAAGAAAGAAAGAAAGGAAGTCCGGACCTTATACATGTATAGCCTGCGACATGCTGGTTTGCAAAAATATAGTAGATAGAAGATTAAGGTAAATGTAATGCCTATGTGAGATATCCAGAAGTCATAAAAATAAAATTTCTTTTATTGGAGATCGGCATCTCTACAGTTTTAGGAGGATTATAGTCTAATAAGTAAAATAAAAAAAAGATGTACAGTTTTCGATGTAGTACCCTAGTATTTAAATAACGTATTGAAAATTTGCTGATTTAGACAGTCTAAAGACATGTTAAAACATGGAATGATACGAATTCAGGCCCGTAGCCAGCCATTTCAAAGGGGAAGGGGGTCTTTTGGGTCCTTTATTGAAAAAGTGGCCCTTTTACCATTTGTGATCCTAGAAGATAAGGCGCCCAGAGCGGTTTTTTCTCTTTCCGTTATATCACTTAACTCACCAGGCAAATGGTAAAATTATTACTTTGTACGGTATTTAATTTGTACTTTCTTATATTTTCCAAATGATCAAAATCATTTATCCACTCAATCTCAAAGTTCATTGACGGTAATCCACGTTGCCTATCCCCTTGGGTCATTAAAAAAAGAAAGACGCTCGTTTAAATTACTTCTGTCTGAGCAAACCTGTTATGACGTACAAAACGTATTATGACTTGTTATGACAACAGTATAAGTTCGTCGTAGATTTTAAGTGACCAATAAACTCATTCATTCCCATTGTTGTTGCCCAGTGTTGTGGACGTGCAGAAATGATTTTTTCTCCCTCATGGGTAAAGTTATTTCAGACTACTAAAGTCTGCACCCGCAAGATACACAATTACCAATTGTTGGGTTTCTATATTTCGACCGTGAGTAGGCCAGTGCGATATGACACGATAAATTGTCGTGCATGCCACATCCACCACAGCCAATTCTGATGCAGGCCCGTAGCGAGCAATTTTAAAAGGGGTTAGGGGGAGGGATTCTTTTTCTGAAAAAGTGGAAAAATAAAGAAAAACGAAGGTGATGTTAATTTGCTGAAAAGTTTAAATACAATCTTTCATTAGTAGTTAATATATTAAGTGGGAAAAATATTCTAACCCTTGTTGTTATAATAATGGTAATAATAATAATAAATACAATATAAAAAAAATTCAAAATATCCTTCAATTTGACAGCACATGGTAAATTATATCAAATATCACAGACCGAATATACAAAAAAAAAAAAAAATTCCCTTACTATTTCAAAAATCTAACTGCAACTACCATCATACTATCCAAAAAAAGAAAAAAATGTTACCAAAATGTGTACAAGAGAAGCACTGCCTCCATCAATACTCATTTTTTGCAATATGAAACAAAGACACATTCTTTTATCATTAACTTCACAAATAAATTGTGCATGTCTACTTAATTAAATAAACATAATTTTGCCTTAGGTTTCATCAAAACATTTTGTAAGGAAGGAACTTTTTCTTCGATGGCATCTACTATTGCACTATAATAAAAAAAATGTACATGCCCTACTGTTTCATTCAGAAAGGAATGAATATTTTGTTTACGTCTTTTAACTGGAAATTTTTCATTTGTTTTATAGGATCATACATCTAAGAATAATGTCAATTAACAGTACAAATGCATCACTTACCATCTGTGGTAGACCAAGCACTTTATCTTCAGTCTTGTCTAAGATATACACTGTACCTCCTTGGCTGAGTAAAATTCATCTAAGAAAAGTCATCTAAGAAATTTAATTTCTCAAATTTAATGTAAAAATTACATTTCAAGCTAATTTGATGTTTCATATGCCTACATTAATACTTCCAAAATAATATACTTAGAATCAATTATACTTTTAATTTTTAAAAAATGTGAAGAATTATTGACTAAAACTGAAATCCAATACCAATTTAATACTGACACTACCCCTGGAAGGAGAATGCTCTGCAAACAGTTTTTTATCTGGAGCAAATTTCTCTGCCCAAGGCCTGAGGCACAATATCATCTAAACAAAAAGCGGAATACATGTTGACTTACTTATGTAAACAAAATGAAAATGGTGAGATGGATATGGCAAATTCCTACATATTAATATTTTGGGCACAAAGCAAAACTATGTATCAAAGCTACAACCAAATTTACTAATTCACTTTCAATTTTGCATCATAACAATTAAATATATCTAACATGATTTATATGACAAAATCTCATAGATAACTTCAAAATTTGAGAAACATATAATGTTATTGCAAATAAACTAAAATTTAAAAACCTCACCACTATCAATTTTTCTCCTTTTTCTGGGGTAGAGATGAAATCCAAGATAGAAGTATAAACTTTAGCTGCTCTTTTTCTCTTTTTTCTTTCCTTTGGTAACCAACATCCCATCTTGTAATTTTTTTTCTTCCAGGGATCACTGAAGATCAACAATTACAAAACACATATATCAATTTAAATTAAATAAATGATGTTCTTTTTTGCACCAGAAAGGAAATATTAAGAAAAACAGAAAATGGACTTAATAAGTATACTAAGTAACAGTATAACTTCCAAAATAATAAACTAATCAAACTTGTTTTTCAACTGAAGCTGATATTAGTTCCTTAAATCTTTTCTACTAAGTTTAGGAATAGTTCGTGACGGGCCGTACACGTGACACCGGCACATAAAAACATGGGATGCGAGGTAGGTTTTCAGCAATTGAATATTTTTGATATTTTTGAAAGCAAAATATGGCCATATAGAAGTAAACATGATGAACAAAGGCAGGTTCTTTTAAAGGTACATATGAACCGAGCAGCGGTGAAGAGGGGATTCCCAGTAACGCAAATAAACCACTTCTACTAGTTTCTTATACGACTCAAATAAATTCAACATACCAAGGGATAAACTGAATAAATCACCCGATCAGCCTTAAAAGAGCTTATGACAGTTCATTTCTTTAAATTTTTTGGTCAGAAATTAAACCTACTTTGGTGACCTACTTTTCTGCCACATTGATATACAACATAGAATGTTAGCAGAAAAATCCGTTCAAATATAATTTTTCGGATAAAATTAAACAATGCCTTTTGGTAATTCTCTTAATTATACTATATGCCGACATTTGATTGGCTTTTGTGGCAAAAATTGACTTCAATTGCACATTTTATATAACTACACCTGTATATGGCATTTTGTCTGTCCCGTAGCAATTCTGACTCAATAGAATTTGTAACGTAACATACCTGTAACACTCAATGCAAATCATTTCTGAAGTCTCTCTCGTCTGCACTTTTACGTTGAATTTGTCTCCTTATTGCAACGTGGTGGGTTAGGAAGGAAAATATGCCACCTCGTGTAGCATGGATGAGTCTTGGTCAAGACTGAGTAAAAGAAGTCAACACATATTCATATTTACACATTAATGCTATTTATTTATACATTTATTTATTTATCTTTCGTGACACTAAATGCCAGAGTTTCTTCATATAAGCAAGGGATACAAAGGTACTGGGAGAGGAGCACAAGTTGAATCAGTGAAGGTATCATGAAGGTTCTTTCAGACAGTTTCTGTTTGAAATCGACTTCATCTGGATCTTCTGCCACGTGAAGACGATAATACCATTGTGTTTGGTGATCCTGATCAGCTCATCTAACGCAGCGGGACCGGGTTGCTCAATAACTCCAACACATACCACTGCATCATACTGGTTGGACGGCAGTTGGATTGGGTTAGGACCACCAAGAATATCGACATACATATTCTTGTATACACCTTTTCTCTCAGCAATTTCAATCATCTCTGGACAGATATCAAGTGCATCCAGGTTGTTATATCCTAGTTGTTGGAGGCATTTTCCAACCAATCCCGTCCCTGCGCCTGCATCTAATATTCGGGCATCCTTGTTTTTAATCCATGTTGCCAGTGTCTCTGCCGCTTTGCGAGGTGCCACGTAACCTATTTCATCTGAAACCTCTTTGTCATATTGAGCAGATCTCTTGGCGTAATGATTACGAATGTCTGTGGGAGAACTCCTCCATTTCAATCCGAATGCTGCCGATTTGTGAGCCATTTTACTGGAAAAGCAGTGCAATAACTAAGTATATGGTAATTAATTTAGACTAAAAGGTATCAGAATATTATGTATAAAAATATTAAAGATGATATCTGCATAACATGAAATACTGCATTGTCGCCACTCACGTCACATGTATTTAATAAATATAAGAATATGGGGTCAAACTCGTCAAACTCTTAGTACCTGCCAGGAAATAAAAATAAAATAAATAAAAATATATATAAGCAGCTTCCTTTTAAGTGGGGTCGGATATATTTAGTCGGCGGATCAATTAGTCCGCGGGTCATATGTTTAGAATGCACTCTAATACTCTGAATTAAAGTAAATACTGCTTATGTGAAGAGATATTTCGGGTGGGTACGTAGTCAAAGTATTGAGCTTAATTGTTGCCGAATTGTTGTTGGTTCACGTGAGAAGCTTTGTTCATTTGAAGGTTCTCGTTTGACAGAAAGATCGCATTCACAACAGCGGACTAACTAGTCTGCGGATCAAATATGAACGACCCACTTGAATTCTTGTTACGTAATCCCCGCTGGGAATCTTTTCACTATTGATGACAGCGCGTATAGAATGGCGTTTGTATTAGCCCGCTCAGCACCTGATGCTAATGTAGTAACAAGTAACGTGTACGGATACGATTATTTAAATCTGTGTGTAGAGATGGACTGGGTGAAAAGGAATGAATAAAGGGGGGGGGGGCGCTTGCACGACAGCGTTTCCATAACTATGAAATTTATATTCTATTACGCGATACAAACAGTTCATGTTCATCTGAAGAGACGCATCAGAACATCTAATGCTCACATCTAAATACTCTCTGATTCAGAATCCATGCCTTGTAACATAACGTTAATATAAGATGTGCAAACTTCTTAGAAACATTCACCTCTGTGTATAGATTGACATATTTTCAATTTCTTTTTTACTGGGGAAAGAGTAGTTACGATTTTCAAATTCATTATAAAAAAAGCATGACAAAAACAAAATATAAATCCATCACCGTCTAGGTTACTTATTACAGACCGAGTCGTCCACTGTGTGTGATATATAAGAGTGTAACAATCGAGGCGTTGCCGAATTATGCAAGTATACAGTACCAGATCAATACATAAATGATGAAATTATGCTTACCGTGTCTGGTGTATGTTAATGGAGAATTTAACGTCCTCACAGCTGATCTAAAGACGTGAATAAACAGTCCAAATGAAGGTCATGGGTTAGATCAAAATGCCCCTGTTTTACTGACTGCTTGTTGTATTTGGTTGACCTGTCACACGGAGAGCGATCACAGTAAGTGACACTGTGGGTGACCTTGATTTCATTATTTGTGACAGTCGTACGAAAACACAAAACCCATTAATCTTGAGGCCAGTCTACAAAGTGCTAAGAAGGAAAGTTAAATGCGTTTATATCTTAGGGATCATTTCTAATGAAACTTTTGTTCTACGTAGATCGACCAAAATCCGCAGTGACTCTCGCTGAATGTAATCAGATTTGTATATTAGTTGGCCTCTTGTTTCCAACATACGCGTATAATCACCAGCTTTTCTGTAGTCTACTCATTGATCAACTCCAAGCGGAGGGAAAAAGAAAGAAAGAAAGAAACTCCGGACCTAATATAGCCTGCGACATGCTGTATTGACCCTGGTTTGCAAAAATATAGAAGATAGAAGATAAAGGTAAATGTAATGCTTATGTGAGATATCCAGAAGTCATAAAAATAGAATTTCTTTTATTGCTGATCGGTACCTCTACGGTTTTAGGAGGATTATAGCCTAATAAGCAAAATAAAAAAAGACGTAGGCTACAGTTTTCGATGTACATGTAGTACCCTAGTATTAAAATAACGTTTTGAAAAAATTGCTGATTTAGACAGTCTTTAACATGGAATGATACGAATTCAGGCCCGTAGCCAGCTATTTCAAAGGGGAAGGGGGTCATTTGGGTCTTTTATTGAAAAAGTGGACCTTTTACCATGAAACCTTTGTGTTCCTAGAAGATATGGCACCCAGAGCGGACCCACCCTCCCCGGCTGGGAGCCTGCGAATTGAATAAAACAATGCATTATATGAATATAGTGGTCCAATTTTATTAATTACACAAAATGCAATGATGTGTCGACATAATAGCAATATTTTCTAACTAGTAGCTCATACCATAAAATGATGTATTTGCAGGGGAAAATTTTGTCGAAAACTTATCATACGTCTATAAAGTTCTAATTGTGCTTATAAAAACTACCTGTTTCTAATATCTTAGCACAAAGGCCCCTAACTAAAATAAATTTCATTTCTGTTCTATTGCCACAGTCCAGTCATGGATGCATTCATGTACCAGATATTGAGCACTCGGGTTGTTTACTTTTTTGTGATACAAATACATTCAAAACGACGCTGAACGTTTGTCTCTAAGTTAAAACAAACCTTCTCAAACGAGTTCATACAAAAATCTAAGCGACGCTGAATATTTACTGCAAAGACATTTTTCTTTTAATTAGCATATTCTAAAATTAAACTGCAATGTCAAATTCCTAAGTCACAATTAACAACATATCCTTCAAGATGCAGTGAGATATAGCACGTTAAACTTAATATGCGAAAACTTCAAGCTTGAATCCAAAGATCCCCAATTTCATAACACAAAAAGCCACTATTCAGTATCCTTCAGCACCCGGTAGGAATACATAAAACAGTCGTAGGGTACACGATAAGCAGTACGAGGGTTTGCTAAAAGCTCCACCTTTTTCTCACATTCTAACTGTGGCAGTTTCTGTTTGAAATCATATTCGTTATCAGGATCTTCGGCGACGTCGACGCGCAGTGTGAAGATGATAACTCCATTGTGCCTGGTGATCCTGATCAGCTCATCTAACGAAGCGGCTCGTGTATGGGTAATGGCGCCAATGATTAACACTGCATCATACTGGTTGGAAGGCAGTTGAATTGGAGTCGGTCCTCCGAGAGTATCCACGTACATATTTTTATAAATGCCTTTCTTCTCAGCAATTGCAAGCATCTCTGGAGAGATATCAAGTGCATCCAAGTTGTTATATCCAAGTTGTTGGAGACATTCTCCAACCAACCCGGTACCTGCGCCTGCGTCTAATATGCGTGCATCCTTGTTTTTAACCCATTTTGCAAGTGTTTCGGCCGCTATCTTGTGTCCCGCATATCCCAGGTTATCCAAGTATTCTCTGTCATACTCATTAGCCCAGTCTGCATAGAACTTACGGATTTCTTGGTGAGAACTTCTTGAACCAAGTCCAGATGAATCCCAGGAATGGTCCCATTTAGATTTTTGCGACTGATTTTGCGACATTTTCCTGAAAGAAAACAAACAGTTTCACTTAAGTACATGTTTACAACAATTTCCATTTGGGGGGCGGGGTAGTGATCACAGCTCACGGAAAATAAAATAATCAATTCACAAATCACAGCAAATAAAACTTCATATCTCACGAGTCGAAAATCCTGAAAATCACGAATCCCCGGATTAATGACTTCGTTTCACAAAGGGCTAAGAATTAAAAAGAAAAGGCCGCATGCACGAGTCACGGGAAGTGGGTGCTTCACGGAACACACTAAAAAATATTAACGTTTCACGCATCTCGGGAAATAAAAAGTGTTTTTCACAGGTATGCCCAATGGGACCCTCTCATAACGAAATTACGGTCACACTTGTCTTATTTTTTACCATTTAATCTGCCCGAAGCATTTTTCTCGACCTAGGTAGCTAAGGGTCTGAGAAAAATGCTTGGGGCAGCTGTTGAATGCCTACAATATACATGTACATGCAAGCAGGTTATTTGTACTGCCTGTGGTGCTAATCTCATTACTGACTGAAGGAAAAGTAAGACACTTCTGATGTACTGTCAGAAAACTAGAAGGGAAAAGGTTAACGCATTATAAAGAGCCCAAATAATGTTTCTTTTTTTTTTTAATTTTTTGAAAATACAGGATGGAACCATCAATCTGATAGATCTGAATAAACCTAATAAACCCATGTTCTCGACTCTTACCGTGTCCCTTTCCAGAATCCTCCAGATGTGTGCGTTTTTTTTNAGAGAATACAACATCTCTATTTTTTTTTTTTTTTTTTTTTTTTGTTTCAGTTATATCTCACGGGGAAAATGGTAAGATTATTACTTTGATAGTATTTTATCTGTACCATTTGAAAGTTCCAAATGTTTTTTAAAAATCATTTGGAACTTTCAAATGGTAAAATTATTACTTTGATAGTGTTTTATCTGTACCATTTGAAAGTTCCAAATGATTTAAAAAAAACATTTATCCACTCCATGTCGAACTTCTTGTAACATTGACGGTAATCTACGACGGACGTCTACAGTTGCCTATCCTCTTGCGTAATTGAAAAAAAAATCTCACATTATGTTTAAAGTATCCTTATCTGCCTACTGGCTAATCTCCCCATACGCCTTCTTCCAGATAAAGCCTGTTTTTCCAGTTTTCAGACATAAAAATACATTATTCACCCAGTTTCCATCAGGCCTTACGACATTTTACAAATGTTTTTTCTTCCAAGTTATTTCAGATATCAGCTTACACTCGAAGGATATAATACCTATTGTTCGGTTTCTTAATTTCGACCGTGACTAGGTCATGTGATCTTACACGATCTTATACCGGTATTTGTATTCTATGTCACATCTACCACAGCCTTGGTTTTAATTCAGTCTCTATGTCTTCCCTTTTCCACCCTTAGTCCTAAACTCTGCATTTTATCAGTTAATAGTTCTCACTGTAAATATGTTAGATTATGCTCACTTCCTAAAAATAGTAGAATTTTCAACCTTAAAAATAAGAATGAAATAAAACAAAATATTTTTACAGCAAAGCATTTGAAATACAGTATTTCACAAAAGAAATAATGATAGACATTGTAATTAAACAGTTGAATAGCTTACCTTTGGATCGGGAGCCCAGCACACGAGTGTTACTGCCAATAGGCTTTCTCCTAGCTCCACAAAAGAACAATTTATGATCAAATAATTAACCTGTAAACTTTTCTGACAACCTTTTTTCTTTAAACAACAAGGCAGTTAAATGCAAGTAAGCATTTCTTTATGAGTGAACGTTTTGCAATGTGTACACTTTTCCCTTGAGTGATATATAGCGTAAAACCTGTTTAACTGCTTTTCTACGAAATAAATCAGAGTTATGGGTTGCACATTTTTGTTCAAACCACAAGCAAGTTTAATACTCGCCTTCCAGTGACCAAAATCAAAGGGCATGACCACCAATTTACATTAACCCCGTCTCACACATATGCATCTACCGTTCCAAACAAAAATCTGTCCATGGCTCCATGCATCTCTCTTATTTAATTTGGGCATGGAAAGATACCACGGCCTAAAGTAGACCAGAGGTAAAACGGGCAGTCTCATTTCGATGTTCATTTGGATTGAAATCCATAAATTAATATTACACGTTTTTAATCGAGTGAAGATGCTAAAAATAAATTTTAAAAGTAAAGACTCAGTCTTATCATTGATGAACAAAAAGTTTTCTTTATTTTTACCAACAGTTACTTTTTACAAAACACGCCTTTCTTTTCGTTTTTCTTTTTTTTTAAATACATGTTCTATCCATCTGTGAGAATCATAATGAGGAAATTTACCTCCAGTCATTTTATCAATATTGTTCTGTCTGCACAAATATCAATTATATCAATCAATGTTTTATTCCATACCATCAATGCACTGTTTTGTTTGGGAGGGTGTTCTTTAGATAAAATTCAATGTCTACTAGTTTAGTTCTATGTCTTTCCAAGATCTGCCACTCCATTTTTCTGCTTGATTTTACATTTTGCAAACTTGGCTAGAGCATGTATGGTTTGTGGCTACTTCATAAGCTTAGGCGATTCTCAGACCAGCAATAGCAGACTCCAAAGACTGAAAATCAATCAAACAAGAAATCAATTAATTAATTTATCAAATGGAGGTAAACCGAACATTTGAAATGAGCATTTGATATTAAAAACAACACCCAAGAGCAAAGTAATTTTCTGACGTGTTTTCCATAACAAAAAGCATTATGTTATAAACCCAGGAATTACAGTAATAATACTTCTATCAATCAGTCCATTTTAACCCCATTTGAATTTCAACTGTTCCAGAAAAAGATGTATTATAGTTTTGTCAAACAATTTAAAATGCATACTGTTAAATATATAACCAAACTTTTTATAAAGACTGGTTGCAGTAATTTTTTTTATGATTTTATATAACTCCTTTCAACACATTTACCTTGAAGTCCCAGACAACAATCTGCCCATCAACCCCAGAAGAAGCAAACTTGGTCACCTGTTCTCTGGAACCACTGTACACTGATAGTTGGCTGAAATGACCACACCACAATGTAAAAATATACACATTTAAAATGTTTATTTCTCTCAATAAATTGTTACTATGGCTGGGTAAAACAAACCAACGATTCCAATTTAAATGTATGTTCAGGTCATTTTATTGTGCAAGACCCGAGTATGCAGCAGTTTTAGTTGGTTAATATTCAAAGGCATTTTTGGCAAACAGACACAAAATAGTTACTTCACAAATACAAATTAAAGGAACACAATGTCTGCTTAAAAAACAACATACCATTAGTTCTTCACAATATACTTACGTGATGGAATTCTGATGTTTGGTCTTGAGATCAGAGCTGGCATCATCCGTAGTTGCCTTTTTATCAAGGGTCTGGAAACGCTTCATGGCACTAAAGGGGAGATAATGCAATAAGTAAGTCTTGATACACTGAGTCTTGATTTCGTATTACATGACCGTGCATTTTCTCTCCATACAATTTACCACAGATATCTGACATTGTTATTTTATTAAAATATGCATATATGCACAGGCAATGTACCTGAGGGTTCCTCCTTCCTTCTCTTGTGGAATGTCCAGTTTAGAAACAAAAGCCAGTTTCCCCTGGTCATCAGTAGAGTACAGCACTGGGCAGCAGTCATGTCCAGCTACCACTATACTGTTCTCAGTGGCCCAGATCAGTGACAGGAATGGTAGGAAAGTGGTCTTCACATTGGTCACACTGAAATATTCAATTGTGGTAAAAAAATTATCATAAATGCACTGTAACACAAGAAGGCAGGGTTAACACTGATATTGGAGACCCTGCAGGCCCGTAGCCAGCAATTTTAAAAGGGGGGTTCTTTTTCTGAAAAAGTGGACCTTTTTCCATAAAAACTTCATGAACCTAGATCAAATGTTACCCAGAGTGGACCTTTTCCCAGCAAAAGGGGCGGTTCTTTCGAACCCCCCCGAACCCCCCGTTTACGGGCCTGCCCTGACAGTGAGGTAAAGAAGAAGGGGACCAGCTTTCATTAGACTGTGTGTGGGTTAATGTTCATGGTATACATGACACATTTTTAACTTTTACTCTTCTCAATGGCCACTGGGGTATTTTAGAAAATTAATGAAAATTACTTGGCTTCTATGAAATAATTTGTGCCTAAAGTACTTACACATCCTTGTTATGCACACTGACCACAGACACACTGGAGTCATGCCCCACCCAGGCCAGCTTATCTCCACTGGGAGAGAAGCCAACAGAATGCACCCAGCCACCTGAAACCGGAGTTGAACTTTTGATAATCTTGGTCATGAGAAAACATGCATATGTGTAGAAATTACTGAAAACAAGTTGGTGCTAAATAGCAATCTAAATCTAATTGAACTTCACTTGCAGAATAATGCAGGTTACTTACACTTGCAGAATAATGCAGCCTACTAACAAGTCAGTGGTAGAAAAAGAGCACATGGGAAACAACTAGTAAGTTCTGTACATTGACATTACTGTCCAAAAGATTCAGAAGAATGGCATCAGCAACAATTTTCACCTCCACCACCAGGTGCATTTGAGAACTCCACCATGAGGTTGCCCAGGGGCATCTTCTTTCCCCAGGGGGTCTCCTGAGGTTTGGCCTCGCACTCCTTAATCCAGCCAGAAAACACCCTGTAATGTACATTTCCATAAGCATATATAAAAATACTTATTCATTGTGGCACAGCTGGCTTCGTTTTGTTTAAACAAAATTTACAATTTCATTGTGTGTACACAGTATAACTGTGATATTTATCCTCGGGTTGGATTGTCAGTAGCAGTAACAAACCTCTCTCTCTCTAAGAGCCAGCCCCTGCATCCCCCCCTTTCTCTTCTCTTCTCTCTCTCTCTCTCACACACACACACACACACTCCAACATGCTACATAACTAGGAAATTTTGGAACTGGAAAACGTTCCAATTACACAAAGATTTGAGTACTGCAGTGTTCAGCAATGTGAAGAGAAGATGGTTATCACCACCTACCTTGCCTTGAAGTCAGTAGACCCAGCGGCTAACAAGATGTTATTTGGATGCCAGTCCAGGCTGAAATACAAAATTCAATTATATTAATAAGATGCCAGTCTAGATTGTAATGAGTTTTACATCCATTTTAATGAAGAAAATTTATGTCCAACATTTGCATGCTAGAGTTGTTTTCAATTATCAAATACCAGTTATCAATGTGAAAAAGGTAACCTTATCAAATAACAGATCAGCATCTCTATTTAAAACTGTTAAGAGCATTCCTTTACCACAAACAAAAAGAAAAATAAAATAAACTTATGCAATTGTAGGCCTGTAATTGCATGTACTGGTTTAGTTTTAGCTGCACACAGATAACACCCATATATTTCTGTGTCCATACCTAGTGACTGTTGACCTAATGGGCTTCTTGATGTGCTTGCTCACCCACCAGTCATTCTCCTTCTCAAAGTAACAGACAGAGATCACACGTGCCCCACTTCCCACAGCAAACTTGTTCTCTGAAAGAAAAGATTTTGTATCAGCTTTGAATAACTTGAAAATTTTGTCTAACAGTCCTTGTGTATCCTTTTTTCCTCCTTTTTAATGACAATATGATTAAATCAACAAATGAATGTGATGGGCATCTTTAAGATAAATTCAGGTAATTGATTTATGTTGAATTCTCACCTTGAGGTGACCAACGCACACAGGTTGCTGCTCTGTTGATCCTCAAGATGACAAGAGTTGGCTTCCATTTCCCATCAGTGAAAGTCCATACATAGGCATTACGATCCTGGAAGCATTGTTCACTTAGTTAAAGGACTTTCAAATAGATATCCCAAAACATCAGTAAAAAATTAAAATGCTCACCTAAAAAGATCTGAAATAACTGTACAAAATATCTTATCAATGCTTTTCACCATCAACATTTAGTAATTTTACCCCATCAAAAATTCTAGAAAGAAACAATATATCTAGCGAGCCTCTTAACTACATGTTTTTGTCTATATTAGATGCTGACAAAAAGATAAACCTAAAAAATATTTTTAAAGCATCCAAAATCATTCACTACATCACATCTGAAAGTGCAGTCAAATTCTACACACCTTACCAAAAACATTATCAAAATGCAAAAATGGCAAATCCGAATCATGTCACATCTAAAACACTTACCACACCACAGCTCACAATCCTGTTGCTCTCAGGGGCCCAGTCCAGACTGGTCACCCTCTGCCCATGCCCTTCCAATACATGCATCTTCTCCCAGCGCCCAGACACCTGCTTGTAGATATGAACTTCTGCATTGTTGGGGGAAATGGCCACCTCTGTAAAAATAAAAAAGGCCAGACAGTGTAAAGTGAGCACTTGACTAAAGAGTTAATAAATTGTTGGCAAGTGTGTGTCTGCATGTACATGGGTGAAGATGAAGAGAAAGAGTGGTGGTGGGATCAGCATTGAAATTAGCCTTAAGAAAATATTTTCAAACAAACTTTCAAGAATTACAATGGTTGTTTTTTTATAAAAACAGCACAGCTATCAAAAAGACAGGCCTATAAATGAACAAACTGATACAAGCAATGACATTTTAAGAGGCGAAGCTGAAAGGAAGTTCCCTGCGCGGAAAATTTAATCTTTTACAACAAAATAATGCTGATGAAAAGACACTTACCATTTCGAGCCTTGTTAAAGGCATGGCAACCAATTGGCACAATGCCAAAGCTGTAAGGAGTAGCCATTCCAAGTTTCTAACTGCTGAAACTATAAATAACAAGCCAAATCAATAATCAAAGATATTTGAATATCTGATAAACTTTTCTCCTTTTTTGATTGCATGATCCCCTCTTCTTCTTGCTACCCTGAAAAAAATTTGCAATTTGACGTGACTTACCCATAAAAAATAAAAGGTTGTTTATGTTGTAAAGGCACACTATGATATTATTTTCTTTATATAGAAAACTTAAAATTTCCACGAAACTTTTGTAGATTTCCCTTAATCACCACGATCCATATCCAAATTCATTAATAAATCATTATCCATATACTTGTTTTTGAATTTATATTAGTTTCTAGTTTTTGAGTCAGTCTCAAAATGGAAACAGAGATTGGCAGACTTTAAAGTAAACTTTAAAACAAGGCAGCAAAGCTGTCAAATGTACAGACAAAAAACAGAAAANATAAAAATTGGACCTAAGTATCTGCCCATATATTTTAATTTTTCACCTTTATGGATGGGGTATATCTTGATGATTTGGGGGAAAACTGCTCAACTTTCTAGACTTGCCCTTCAAGAAATCGACGCCTTCAAGAAATCGACGAAAACCGGAAGTGCGTGTTTTTTGCACTGTTTTTCCTGTCATGCCCATCATAAACACTGTGTTGTCAAGTAAAAAGAAGCGTCTGATACAAAGTATCAAACGCGGCATTCACGTGCTTGCTTGCGATGCGTTCAGTACACTTTGTTTACACTGACAAGTCGAGGTCAGAAATGCACAATGTTTTTATATGTAATTACACAGTTTCAATTTTGATTAATGAATTTTCTTTTATCTGCATGGTCATTTTCCGAACATTTGTATAAGCCACGAAATATTTCTCATCGGAAAATCACCCAGCAGCTTTCCAAGTACAAGCGAGTGACGTCATGACGCACTTCCGGTTTTCGTCGAGATCTTGAAGGGATTATTTGCTGCACATTTAAAGCGTTCTATCTCAAAATGTACTCAACTGCTTGGATTGAAATTTACAGAACCTATTCTTCACATGATGTCACACATATGTGCTTAATTTAAGAGCTTTGGCTGTTATATGTTTTCTATAGTGCCCATTCAAATTTGAAAAAGAGCTATTATCCGTCGATTTCTTGAAGGGCAAGTCTATAGAAAATTTATTAATTTAATTTTTTAAAGTCATTCACCATAATTTTTACTTTTATCATTACTGTCTGGTAGCTACATCAGGGTCTAGTATACCTTCAGAATGAAACAATTAAATTCACAAGAGTTGATTTCTAAAATGAACGATAAATGTTTGACCAACATCAAAAAGGCTAATTTGACGTTGTGTCTTTCAATTTTCGCTACAATATGAATGATGCATAGTCGGTTTGTCATGCGGAAGTAAACTTGACAACTTGAAATGTGAAGGGCGTTTATAAATTTTCTAATGTTTAGAATTCTGAGCGCCTGCAAACAAAGTTCGTATGTGAAAACAAAGTATCAAGACCAAGTTCGTATTACCTGTATACCTGCGGTTTGGTATATTCGCGGACTCTGGTCAGTCTACACGAATATCTAGCTTGAGAAATTCTAAATTTTCGCCGCCCTGAGTCAACGGAAGTACGCTGCGTAGTAGTAAAGGTAGGCTCGAAAAAAAATTGACATTATTTAGTATTAGTCAACCAATACTATGATTTCTTTCAATTTTGAGTTACTTTTTGTCTTAAAAATTAAAATAAAATTAATTTATGGAACTTATATTATGATATCGTCTTCATTTTGAATGTAATGAAAAATTAATTGGGTTTGTAGAAGACACAGATTTTAAACTACCCAGCATGCAGTTTTACTTCCTACTTCCCGGTTTGAGCAGTCGACACGTTCTCTCTGGTCATTGGTGATTTCTGCGATACAAAATGCGGCAGGGGGATTCTTCATCGCGGTTCAATGACACCATGACGTTCACAGGGACTGTAGTGTGTCTCTTTGCGGTAATATTAGCAGTTTCAGGTGTGGAGCTAGAAGGAATCGAAGATGAGCATGGTGTCAGAATACCAACAAAATGTGAAGGTAAAAAACTAAAATACCTGGATTGTCAATGTAATATTGTTATTTGTCGTTGTTTTCCTTCTTTTTGATGTGTGTGCGTGCTTCTAAAGTTACTCTGTAGGTCGTGTTATTTGACATCCGGAGGTTTTAGGGGTTTGAGTAAACGACTTTGCAGAGTAGACCCTAAAGATGACTATCCTCAAGTGGCAAAACAAAGAGATGTACGTTATTCATGTAAGGTTAGATTTTAAAGGACTTTGCTAGTCACTCTTGTACATATGTCATTAGTGTGTTGAAAGTATGGTAAATAATTGACCTTGTCATTGGTGTGGTAAAATGCAGACAACATACACATTGCACCTTGAATTATATACCAAAAGAATTTTCTTCCAGTTTGTAAATATCTAGTAACGGAGCTTCAGCAAAGACTATCAGAGACATCATCAAGCGAGGTGTTAAGAACAGGTCATGGACTGGACAAAAAACCACTGAAAGAAATCAAATATGATAAGTCGTAAGTTTTGTTTGCATGTCTTTTTTTTTTTACACCAGAAAATTGTAAATGAAGAATAGATGAAATGACAAATCCCATTTCTTATAACTAGCCAGAAATGAAATTAGTTTCTTAAAGATGCTTGTGTAGTTTTCAAGATAATACTGTGAAGTCTGTCAAATCCTGTTTGAAAATACTGTAAGCGATATGCATTGTATTGTAAAATAATTTGGTTGTTTTAGATGAATAAGTTGAATATGCAGTCATGATATTGTGCTAAATCAAGCTTATTTTTTTTTTTAATTGAGAATTGTACAAAAGAGAGAAAAAAGACTGGCCTGATTCACATATGTATTTTATATGTAGCCTTTTTTTGATAGTATGTTTATCTTCAGGGACCTGCGTCTAATAGAAGCTTTGACAGACCCCCATGTTTGTGATAAGATTTTGGAGTACAATGTGCACAAGGAGAAGAAAGGCAGCATGAGATATGCCAAAGGGATGAGTGAGACAATGCAGACTCTACATGGTTTGGTGTAAGTAAAAAACTTTACATGGCAAACAATACAGGGTGCCCTTGACTTATGAAGGACTCCTATTATGTAGCTTGGAAGGGATTTTTTTTTCAATAGGAAAATGCAATATGAGATTGATTTTGTGGATTTGCTATAATTGTGTTTTCTTGGAAAATCAGTTTTCATCTTTCCTATTTCCTTTTTGGAATTTGGCAAATATATGGTCAGATATATATGTGCAAATATATGTGGGCATATTTTCTTAATTTATGAACAATTTACTGGGGGGAAATGGTATAGGAAATCACTCTTACTTACATGTATAGATAAAGAAACACATTGGTGTAATCTTGTTAACATGACAGATATGGACAAACCTTCAGTGTATTTTGTATACTCACAATTATATCAATCTCAATAAAATTCCAAATTAGTTATGTATTTATATCTGTCTTCCTAGGATTTCAGCCTCAGGTGTATGCCAAACTATATATATGAACAAGGATATTTATATCTGTATATGTTTATTGTTTCAGATTTGTCACAAATTATTTTATATTTTCAGGGACAAGGGTGTCAAGGTGGAGCTTGGAATGCCATATGAACTTTGGGATAAGCCATCTGCTGAGGTCACAGCCATGCAAAGAAAGGTACATAGTGTTTACTGATTTGTTTATGAATATCTTCTCAAAATTCTTATCCTTTGAACTTTTTTTAAAATATGTATTCCAGAGTTGTTTCGGGGTTTTTTTTCCTCATTTGACTTTTAAATCTAATAGCTTTTAGATTCTCAAGTAATATTTCATTTTCAGTGCTACAAAATGGTGGAAGATTATGAAGAGGATATTGAAGACTGGTACTACAATAACCAAGAAAAAGACATGATTGAATATTTCTGCAGTAATCTTGTACTGAAAGGAAATGATGACAAAAGTGTGTTATTTATTTTTGGTTTTACAATATACCTAAAATTAATTATGTATGATACTTTACAAAATTTAGATATGCTAAAAGATTAAGAGGATTAATTTTGTTTGCATATATTAATTTACTATGTACAAAAAAGGCAGACAGACAAGCAATCAAACAAATAAATTGTTATAATGAATTTCTTTTTTTTTCTGCTATAAATATATTTAGTTAAAGATGGAGATCTGAATGATTCCACATGACATATAATGTAAATAGAATGTGTGGTTATTTACATGCAATGGCAAAAATTGGTGCCCCACACTTAGGGTGCATTCCCATAGATTTTAGATCGATCTATCCCGGTGGGGAGTCTCACTAGATTACTGTCAGATAATATGGCTTAAATGTCCATCCCACCTACTACAAGCTGTAAGGGAGTAATTAACTTCCATGCGCGGTCGGCTGACTGCAATTTAGCGTGAACCCCCAGGGAGTTAGGTCGATCTAGTAAGATCAATCTAAATCTTTGGGAATGCCCTCTTATTCACTATGACATGAATTTTAATTTTGCCAAATTGCTGAAAGATTTTAGCAAAATCAAAGTTTATTGGCATAATAATGGTAAACTTTCAATATTTTAGAATATCTTTCTTTATCTGATCAACTTAGTCATCTATGTAGCATTTGGAGAAAATTTAGTAGGCTACGTGAGCCCAGTCATCTGTATCAAACCACTTCTTGATAATGTAAACAATGTGGATAATTAACTATTTCAGCATGTCTCACAGAGAAGGAGGAACCTGAGGAGGATAAGAAGGGAGAGGATGGGGATGTAAAAGAGAAAAAGAAAAATAAGAAAAAGAAAAAAGGTGAATGTTGAACTATTTTAAAATGCAATTATTTACTTAATTTGTGTAAAGATTCATTCTTTGCTGCTTAATTGCAAATGTGTCAAGTTGATCAGTATAATGACAATTTGTTGCTAACCATAAGTCATGTTCAGTTATGCTTTTGCATCAAAATCATTATATTTTTGTTACGCAATATTTAGATTTATTGATGCACTATAGGTAAAAAGAAGAAGAAAAATAAAGGGAAAGGAAAAGATGAAACTGAAACTCAAGGTGAGCTTTCTAATTAATTGTTTTATACGTATTAACATCTTGACTAGAAAATAATAGCAGATTAATGTTCACTACTTGGTTCTTATTTAATAGATCTGAAAGGTTCAGTAAGTTTATTTGTCATATGTTGTATCAGTATGTAAATTACTAAGGTATCACAGTTAAGATATAAGCATAAGATAAAACAATTTTTTCAGGCTTGGGCAAAAAGAAAGTGGAAGAGGACACAAAAACGGAAAAGCAAAGAGATGAATTATGACCTCACTCTTAGGACTTCCAAATGCAATGCTATGTTTTTGAAGTGAAACTGAGTTCATATCACAGGGCAGAAAGTTAAAATGCATTTGTCTTAGTACATAAAGGTTGAGAAAGACCATTGCATATGGGCACTACCATTGTCTTTTTTCTACTCTTTTTTATAAGTAGAAAACTGGTGCTAGATAATATTATGCGTTGTTGTTCATGTTCACTTGATACTCTTTTTTACAGAAAATGTTGCAGCCCGATCAACTGGCAGTGCTTAGTTATGAAAACAATGAAATGTCATTTTGCATTGTTACAATATTGGTACACTTTTTTGCTGCTGATAAGCAAAATGTAATTGTCAAGGACAAGCACTTCTCGTCCATATTGTGTATGATGCCAGATGTGCATTCATTTGCAACTTTTGAGGAGATTGCTCTTTGGTGCCAACTGCCTGTCACCCCTTAAGCCCCCTTTACACTAGACAGCGTCCTTTCTGCATCACATAGTATGCCACCATTTGAGAGTTAAAAAAAAAAAAAAAAAAAAAAAAAAAAAAGGCCAGTCATTGAGCATTCATTCTGCAACCAAAGCAATGCTTGTGCCTCCTTTCTATGACTACAGCCATACTAGTTTTATGGTCGCACAAAGGACACGGACACAGTAAAGATGGCGTCCAGTGTAAAGGGGGATTAACTGTAAGGTATGAGTGCCACAAAGAGAATAAGGGAGTGTGAGTGTAGCTTTTCTGATGGTCTCAGCTACTGCATAATGCTTGTGTTTAGCTCTCTTCCAAATTTGAAACCAAAAGAATGCATATAAATGTGCAACTAAATTATGTCGTTCATATATATATAAATGTAACTATGTTAATACACAAAACATGACTTCAAGTCACAATAGTAGACAATCTAGGTCTGAGTTCTTATTTTCTGTTTGCCTTAATCAAAAATTGTTGGCTCAAAACTAGTGCAACGTGTCTAAATATTGTTTCACTAAATGCAAAAATCCTACTAAACTATACTATGAAGAAGGACAGAATGTGCTTTTGGGAGGAAGTTCAAGCTTTAATGTGATATAAATGTAACATTGTAAAAAAAAAATAAAATAAATAAACACTTATTTTGATACCAAGAAATGTCTTTATAAGACTGTCATTATAATTTCTTCCGAGTATTAGTAAGTCTCATAGAGGTCACAAATAATAGCGACACCCGTCACAAATAAGACATTGGTGGTATCTCACATTTGCATTCAGGAAATGGAGTTGGTATAAAGAACAATTTGTGAAATTAGATAATGTTAAGTGGATTTAGATTTTTGAGGAGACAGAAACTTTACTATTGAAGTAATGTATTTGCTTTAGTGTAATTTTATGTCCCTTGACCTTCCAGTCATTTCAGAAGTCCATAATAATGATTGGAGCAGCCTCTGTTGTTTTTATAAATTTTATAATCAAATGAACAAGCTTAATGTCTACTGTCTTTTTGATTACTACAGAGGGAATAATCCTACTGATGTAAAATTTCAAAGTTACAGGTAGCAGGTCTTTTGGCATCCTGTTTATTTTTTCTTTGAAAGGGATCAGCAGCTAAAGACATTCCATAATATTAGCAATCACTTTTTCATAATTTTTTTTTAATATTGGCCATAGGGTCATTTGTTCGTCTAAACTGTAAAAATATGTTACACTTGACCCATTCTGAGATTTGTCCCATGTGGACTTCCTTTTCCACTCAGTAGCCAAATGTCCATTTTTTTTCCAATGGACACAGTAAAGTTTGTATTTTTGTATGTAGTCATGTCATTGAAATAAATACTTTTCTTAAGTAAAGTGTTCTCTTTATTATTTATTTATTTATTATTATTATTTTTTTTTTAGGAGATGCAAAAAAAATATTTTCCAGCTGGTAAAAATACAAAAATGAAGAAACTGAAATGTTTTTTTCAACTTTATCTTAAAAACAAGAAACAAAAGTTCATTAATCTTACAAAGCTTGAATAGTATTTGCATTTGATCATTATTATAAAACATTTCTAAAGCATGCAATTTATTGCAATGATGCACAAGTTTATCCAAAGATTTTAATATATTAATGGGGATTCTAGTTACAATTACTTATACCAAAATTACTTAAAGATAACTTGTGTCGTAAATGCATTTTACAATTGCCCCCATGGGTTTCTGTCACAGTTCTCGACAGTTATAAATTGCGAACTTTAATTTTGAACCCCCCTGCCATTCTACTATTTACACAAATTAAAAGAACCAATATTCAGGTTCAATTGTCTGCCATGATATCAGTTTACATCCAATTGTACAAAACTGTTTTTCAAATCAAATGTTCATTAAGTTGGCAATGATACCAAGTTATAATCCAGAGGCATACAGCGGTATCAGATCAAATCTATCTTTGTGATGCCTTAGTAAATCTTCCAGAGATCCTTTATCTGCTGAGGGTGAATTGCTTTTTTTTTTGTGACAAGCACTAGCTTCCCCCATTTTCCAAGATCATCTCTGCTAGACCCAGTATCAGAATCCCTTCGTTCAATCTGAAACAATGCCAATGTGTTCATTTTTATCCATTGTGTGGCACAACAACAGAATATGCAACAGTTTTAAACTATCAAGGACTGACTAACCAGGAAGGAAGCAATGTCCCCTATAAATTTATCTCAAGTCAAACTATCTGTGCCACAAATACTTTTAAAATATCAAATCTTTGTACACCTTAATGAAGGAGAAAAGGTTAATGACAAATTTAGTTATGGGGATGAAGGTATAAGTGCTAATTCTGTGATCGTTTACTTATTAACTAAAAGAAAGTCAAATACTATCTAGACCTCACCCTCTCAATCATTGTTGAATTAATATCACTGTTCCTCATCTCACCTGCTCACTCTCTCCATCATTCCTGTGTCTCCATACTTTCATCTCCTTCCTCATCTTCATCCTCCCCTTCCTTCTTCTCTGGCTTTTCGTAAGCCTTATCTGATGGTGTGACCACCACCCCTTCCCACACACTCATCTCGGTGGCAATGCCTAACAACAAGGGAAATGAGAAAAGTTTTTAGGATCATTTCTGTAAAGGTTAGTTACAGAAAATGCATTATCTACTAACAGTTCAGTGAGTGAGTTTACTTGTTCAAAGATGCCAACATTACATATTTATTAATCCTTCAATATGTGGCAAAAAATTTAAAGGAAACTTGATGGGAGACACATTTACAACAAAACTGAACAATCTAATTTTTAAGATACAGAAAATTTTTTTCTCATGAGATCTATGCTTGTCTCCATCCACCTCAATATGCCCCTTACTTGAATTTCCTTCAAGACCCAGTATCTGTTTAAATCCTCCATGTGCAAGGACACGAAGTAGCGTTTGTGCTGTGTAGCAGACTTGGTCCTGTTGTTCTAGTGTCATCACTGTGTGTATGCGGACTGTGCCATTCTCACAAGGATCTGTGATACCCACGGACCCTGGCAGGAAGAACCCTGCAGCCAACAGCTGTAAGCTACGCCTGCAGCAAAACAGTGATTTGTACAATAATAAAAGTATGGAGAAAAAGTAATTTACCTACACCTGTTTACATTCTTTGTTTACCAATTGTGCTGGTTACAAATATTTTAGTTACAGTGAGTGAAATAGCAAAGTTGGCACAGTGAGGAAGAAGGTGTACATACACCTAAAAGCTTGCTTAACAATTTTTTTTGACACGCATGCTCACATTACACTGACAGGTGAAAAGAGGTCATACTGATAGGATGCTCCTTCCAAATCTAAACAGATTAATATTAATCAAAACCCTTTCTATTTAGAGATGATCAAAATAAGAAAAATGTTTTTTTTTCCTTTTCCTTACCTAAAAGCTACATGAATTGGCAGTGGCTGTCTTGTTGGATTGTTCATCACAGAATAATGACCCTGTGTTAGGAAAATGATTCAAAAATTATTTAGTTGGTATATCAATTTTTTTAATATATACATATACTTTTTCTGTTGAATTAAAATAAAGGCATGCTAAGGTTTCCCCAAAGAAAATATCTTTAAATCAGTTATAGGTAAAAAAAAAAAAAAAGTCAGATAAAGTGGTTAAGTGGATAAAGTCAGAGTGCAGTGTGTGTAACACCAGAAACTTTGTATGACATCTTTTCCTTTTTGTATTTTACCAACTCGATTAACATCTCTGTGCAATTACTGTTGCTCTCAGCTCCAGTTAATATATAAATCCTCTAATATAACTCTTAATAGTTTTTTTAATGAACTGCCAGCCTGTTTGCACTCCCCCCCACCCTTTTCAAGTAAGCAACCACTGTCCAACACAGTAATTAAAAAAAAAAAAAAAATTAGCGCAGTAAATCATCGAAATTAAGCACAAGATCTACCATTATAAAAGTCTAGGTTGCAAAACTCCAGTGGTCTTTCAATGCAGTGGATAAAGTATTGCTGTTTGGATTCCCTTACCAGTAAGTCCAGTATCCAAGGTGTCAAGGGCTCTAGTCCCTCAAATCTATTCCTCAGATCTTTAAGTAGACGGATTAACACTTTGACACTGCAAACAAGTAAATGTTTATACATAAAATAACATCATTACCTTTTGTTAAATTTTACTCTAGTGTTCATTAATTCAAACAGATTTGTTACCACTAAACAATTCAATCACTGTATGAGCTGAATGCTGTCCTACTGAAAAAAAAGAAGAAATAAACAAATTAACTCTAATGAATTTCCCTAAATGAACAAACTCTTTCAATAAAATTACAGCTGCTCAGTCCTGCAAGTTGGATACAATACCTTGAATGAAATGCATTCTCTTCAAACCACCTGGCATGTCTTATGGCAGCCAAGTGGCTCTGCATTACTTTACCATCCACTGAAAACAAAACAAAATTTAACATAAATATCAGAGAAGACCAATTTAATAATTTCCTGTTTACAGAAAAATTAGACATCATAAATGAAACTATAAAAATGGGAATCAAACATCACATACTTTGTTACAAACATGAGGTTATGGTATGTGTGTATAACGTAGCTGAGAATAAAAGGAAATTTCTTGGTTTTTTAATATGCATTGAAACCACTTATGTTCATCAAGTCAGCAACAGCAAATAAATTAGTAAAACAATAATTTGTAAAAAATGCTGGATGTAGAAGTATGTCTATTTATAAATTAATAAATTTATAAATCATTTCAAAGAAAGAACCTAGAATGACATACAGCTATCAATTGTTGATATACTTACAATGTAACTCAGGGTCTAGTTTCTTCAGGTTAGGAGGAATGGTGGTGATGAGACAGCGAACAGTGGCCTCTGGTGTGCTAATCTCAAACCCTGTATCAGTTGGCATCATGGTCAGAACTGCAATAACATACACAGGTCTTAAATGATGAGAGAAATGCATTAAATCACATTCATGCCCTATGCTAATAATAATAATAATGAATCAACATCCTCAGATATCCAGTAAGAAATGTACTATCTTTTATCCTAAGGGATTAAGTAATTAAGAAAATTGAAATATTTAAAATCCAACCAAATATTTTATTGTATGTATTATATCAATAATAATCTGCTCTTGCAATTCAAAATATGCATGTCTCAACAAAACATTTGGAATGCTCCATATTTTTGATGAAATCACCCTAAGTCTACCTTCTGAGGAATCCTGAGCTTTTACATCCTCCAAGACCTTGCCTCCTAGCACTGTTACTGCCTCAACTGAAAAAGAAAAATTACTATAAAATGTTTCACCAACAAATAAATTAATGACAGATATTTTTAAATTAGTAAAATATCTTGAGACTATACTGTCACTTGTGACAAACTTGTGTCAATGACAAATGTATCTCTTGTATGAATCAAACCAATGACCAGTTTTTGAATATTTATGTGAGCAAAGTAAATGGCATTGACAATATAGCATTGGTACTTATAGTTAATGGTAACTAAACTAACTTGTTGGTAAAGTCTTTAAGATAACCACTATGTCTGCCACATTGTGTCCTAGTGTCATGGTGCCTTTCTTATGAGACCCCACCTGACGCACCTCTTCCAATTGCTGGAGTAGGAGCGAGCAAAAAATAATTATAGAGATAAGTATTGTGATTCTTTTCTATATCAACATAATATCTATATAATTATCAAATCACTTCTTTATAATGTCAAGTACTGATAGTTATCGGGTAATAAAATTAAAATGAAAGAATAAACCTAATTCAGCTTTTGATTTCATGATACAAAGTAGCTCTGTTGGTATGATTTAAATTTCACTAGTGAAAATTTCTGATATTAAACAAATAACTAAAACTCAAGAATTCCAATTAAAGGATAAAAAAATTATTTCTTTAGACAAGAAGTATTTCTATTACCGCAGCCTCAAAGGCTCCTGGAGATACTATGAGGTTATCCATAACAGTGTTGATTTTAGTCACCAGTGCCAGGATAGATGACTGCTCCTGGGGGGTGGGGCTCAGGTCTTGATTGCGCTTCAGGAGAGCCTGAAATTTAAAGAAAATTACAATAATATTTCACAAATTAAAATATCTGAATCAGTGAAATGTTACAATCTTAATACACAAGCTTGATTAGGATAAATAAAAAAACCTCCAAAAAATGCACTTTTTGAAAAAGAAGATATCCTTTTTTTCAATTGTTCGTAAAAAAGTGACCATCAATTACTTAATTTTACTCACATCTGTGAATGCCTTCTCATCAGAAGCAGGCTTTACTCTGGGAAAAGCTGGCTCACACTACACAAAAAGAGGTATATTTTCAGATACAGTTTGAAATTATATTAACACATTTATATATCTATAATGTTAATTCAAATAAAATGATAAATTTCCTTTGGATAATAAAAATTTATGTTATATATATTTTCTAAAATAATATTCAACATGTCAATAATAAATGGTAATCATAAAATTAAATGATATACTTATAATAAGTAACACAGTACATCTTCCTAAATTACTCACAAAATGTTTATGACTTTGTAGCTTTCATCTACAGACATTGAACTTACCTGAGCAAGGTCAAAGGGGATATGGGGTATAAATGTTCTGAAACTGAAAATTAAAAAAAAAATATATATATATACTGATTTTCATCTTTTCATCATTTTTTTTTCAGAAAAGCATGTTTATTTGTTAATAAATATTTGGTGTTCATTTCTGCATGTTAACTTATCTGAAAATGGATGTACATGTCCTTTAGTTTTGAGGGTCTCATAATTTTGCTTACCTATAGAACAGTAACCTAGCACTATTGTAGACAAAAAAAAGTCAATAACCATATGATTATATTCAGAATTGTAAATATACCCTATGAGAGGTTTGATACTTGCAGTATCATGTCTTCCAAACTTAAACATTCAAGTATGATTTCCCATCTTTTTCTATATTTCATTTTGTGGGGTCTTTGATCAATGTTTCTTTTATTAAAAAAAAAAAACTTATTTACTGAATTTTCAGTGTTCATCCCTGAAATGAACTCTGCTCTCTAGTATATTTGAGTGGGCTTGAAGTTGCTTGCAAAACATTTAAAAAAATCAGAAAGCAAATTTCTAACGGCTGATTATGAGTGCAAGTCACCAAATAGCTTAATATAGAAAACCATTCAAAATCAATGACATGGAATTTTGGGGCATAATGCATAAGTGCCAGAAAACTGAGCATTATCCAACAAAGAAAATGTCTACTTACAGTCCGCCAGGACCTTTGTATCCCATCCCCCTCATCCCTCCCCTAGGCATTCGTCCACCGGAGTAGTGCCTGAAATAATAAAACAAAATATTTAATTTACAGGATTGCGGCTTATACGAGACCTAGATATTTCCGTGCGTGCATATGCAAGGCCGATGTTTGCCTCTGTTTACGACCCGACTCTAGGAAGCAAACTAAGAGCAAATTGCAGGCAAAAGGTGATGCCTGATGTGATTTTAAAAACTACTCGTTGTGTCCTCGCTACGAACAATGTCTGGCAATAATATTAAAGAGGTAGTGTAAAGTCATCACCTACATTTTAGTTAATTTTAAAATGTAGATAACGTTACGTAACGACACTGTCACAGTATCAACGTCAATGTCATTGCAAATATTCATAATACTAGTAATAAAATAGCCTTATATAGTGCATTCCATTTCATTTACAAATATGCGCATAAAATTCTACTTAAGATAGGGTATCTACTGGGTGTAGAGGTGTAGAGGAATGAGAGATAACAGTAGTACTCACCTCATTATTGCTTCTATCTCAACACCGACCGGCTTTTTGTCAAAGATGGCGAAAGCGTGCTTGGTGGTGGCAGCACTGGTAACTTTGTTTTTAATTCTGAGGACAAGCCACATATTTGCGTTGAATTCTTCAAATCACGGATAACTGTGGGCTAAATATTACTATTTATTCACGCAAATGCACTTTTCGACCATTTTGAAAAGCAGCTTAAAACGTATTTGCGATTAGATTTTAATTTATTTTTGATTTTGCCCCGTCTTTTGCGATCAAAATCCGGGTACTTCAACTATGGATGCCTACTACGCCATGCAAAGGCACTGATGCAGTGCAAAGGGTAACCATCGCACCAGTAAATGAATACATGCATGTTTGGAAACGTTTTAACGACAATTTACAGTCTTCTCAACCAGTCCAATACAAATATTTACAATAGGTCCATGTTGGCGGGTTCATGTCCGAAAAATAGAAGAGATAGGTATCATATTAATTGTACGTGTAGGGCCTACAGCCTTACAAGCTTACGGTACCCTTACCGCAGATAAGGTTTCTGCAGGTAAGGGTACCTAGCTTCTAAGGCTGAAAACCGAGATAAATGCAGGGTGCCGTTGTGATACTACATGTACGTAATTTAGATATTGACCCATGTTGGACATTTCGTTTTAACTTCCCGTTTTTTTTTCTTTTCTTTTTTTTTTCCAATGTCAAATTTATTTCAGAAGAGCAAACAAAATAATTTGCCTTTTAAACTTAAAACATGAATCGAGTTGCATGAAAATTGCATGGTAGCACACTTGCATGCACATGCTGGGTACCATGGTGACTAATATTAAATCACAATTCTAACAGGTTTATCTGAATTTATAGTTTTATGTTCACACACATTAAAAGTGAAATCATGATTTACCTTTCTAAATCTGGTAACTGTTTTGGCGCTAACAGGGGAGCCAGTGTATGTCTTTTTTAACATGAACATTAGTTTCCAGTCTCTACAATCATTTCGGAAAACATATCAACATCTGCAGCTAGTATCAATTACATTCCCAAGAGATTTTATACTGTGGTAAAAAGTTTAAATTTACATCAGTAGAATCCTACTTGTGAGATGGATTATTTTAAAAGGAAATCTGGTAATGCTACTGCATTCACACGAGAGGCTCTGCAGCGATAAAATTGAAATTAGCCACTAATCATGATTAAAAATGCTGTGTGTGAACCCGTAGCCTTGTAGTGGCATCTGTTGTGCTTTGCAGCCGTGAAGATCCAAGTATCCTATAATGGAAAGTGTGGAACATTTGCGCCACCTGGAATTCCCTCACTCAACCCAGCTGGCATTACAGTACATACAGCAGCACTCTGGAGATTGTGACAGTACTTCCACAGAAGACAGGATACCTGGGCTGGGGGGTGGCTCTGAGAGCATCACCCAAGAGCTGGCACAGGAGTTTGTGTTCTTTCAGACACCTGGGAGACAGGTAAAAAAGATCAAAGCTTTCCTACACTTAATCACATTCTTATAAATGACAGTGGTTGGCTGAGGGAGTGTTAGAAGGATTAGAAGCTGGAAAAGCATGTGTGACTAAAAATCATAACTCCAGGAATCTATTCATGCTCAGTTTTTCTTTTAGAATTTTTCTTTGTTTCTTCCAGAAGTTGTCAGCCATTCAGGAGTTTCAGTTGATAGAGCTCCTGTGTAATTATTTCCATGAGCAGAAGGATGGTGGTAAAGCGCAGGCCATCTTCAATACACTGTTTGACAGTCGCCCAGGGTTGTTCCAAGCCTACCAGCTCAGTGTTCTCAGTAGCCTGGTATCCATGGGTGTGGCCATGAAGTGCACTGTCTTATTAGATTGTGCAGCCATCTGGATCCAGGTTAGTAAAGGTTTGCATCATCTGTAATACTGCAGTGTAGGTAAAATAACTTAATTGCCTTCGTTGTCAGTTATTCAGTTATGCAGGTTCAATTACTCACCCCCCATAAGCTTTAAAGTCCCGGCATGATAATAATTTTTTGTTGATGTGCAATGTGAACTATTGTATAAAACATAGTCATGTTGACTTATTTGAATAGTAGTCAAATTGAAAATGAAGAATGCAGGAAACTCTAAGGTATGTGTATGTACAATGCTGGAAAATACTAATCTGTATTAAGAACACCTTAATTTGGCTTTTGTGTGTGTGTGTGTATGTATGTGTTTGTATGTGTTTGTGTGCTGAAACATTGCATACAAAATTTAATTGCTCACAGAGTGAGTTGCATGTTTTACCCATTTAGCATCATAAGTCTAATAATTTAGTAACTTCTTTTATTCTAAATTATTATATATATATATTTTTACAGAAACATGGTTACAGCACTCAGAATTCGGAAAACTTAATCAGGGATTTGGTAAAGGATTATTGTCTCCTGATTCCTGGGACTACATCCATCTTAGAAGAACTACCACAGATATCAGCAAAATTTGCCTGTAGCTTCATAGCTGTCACCTCTGCTATTTACAATATGTCAGGTAAGGTATTTTTCCCATTGTCTTGTCTCTTCACAAGTCATGTTTTTTTTCTTTTTTTGTCTTCTAATTGTTTATAATTAAGGTTAGAGTGATAGCAAAATCTTGACCAAATTCTGTATATTTCCAAAGTTCCAGACACAGATATTCCATTTTCCTTGCTGCAACAGATCACAAAATGGGTGGAGCAGGATCCAACACTCTGCTTACAACTGCTGCCACCTGTTAGTCACTCCCTCAAGACAAGCAGTGCCAAATCTGTTGTACTGCATACACCTATTCTAGGACTTCTTGCTTGGTCAGTAGTGATTCCTATAAAGAAAGAACTAAGGACTTTACGCCAGAAGGAGCAACAAAATAATGGGACCAAGACCATTGATTCTCAGGCTGTGCGTTTGGTATCAGACAGTGAATTTTCTGCTGAAACTTTGTGCTCCAGGCTCCATTTGGGCCTCTTGAAGACAATTTTAGTGATTGGTTCATCTCCTCAGCACATCCAAATACATTTACACATCCAGGATGTGCTCAGTTTAGCCCAGGAGGTGGCGACATTGAGCTCTGGGAGGACAGGACTGAAGACTGTGCTTAGTGGGGCTGAAAGGCTGCTTCAAGCACTCCAGGTGGCTATGTATGTGAAGGCTTGCAGATGCCAAGCAGGTAAGGGAAGGTTTTTTTCCCTAATATTTAGGCAAAATACGGTATTGACTCAAACCTTTCAATGGAGAAAGTATCAATTATTCAAAAATGTGATTTTGGAATCATTAAAAGTAGCATTTGTGGTGCTTTTCCTGCATAGAATAGAACTTTAATTTTTTTAATTTATGGGTTTAAAAAATACAGTATCTGTAAAATTGACAAATATTTCCTTTGAAAATATTGAGATATTGTTGTAAATTAAATATGTGCAGTGAATTTTGAAAATTAGAATATGAAATATGGTGACATACATTTCATTCTTAGGTATATTGGAAAGTCAATTGTTAATGGTTAGTGCTAACTGCATATTAGATTATCGTTGGTTAATATTCTATTTTCATTTTTGCTGAAAGTGAAATAGTTCAATAACAAACTTCTTTTTTTATTTATTCTATACTTTCTTGTTTTTTTCAGAGGATTTGAAAAACCTTGGGAAGACACTTCCAACAACCAGGTAAATTATCTTTTCTGAGTGTAGATATGTCTTTAAACATACCAAAATAATTATATCTATAATACCATATTACACACCTTGCACAAATACAAACTTCTTTGAAAAAACACAGTTGTTCAGCTGTTTTGTTTTTTTATTTTTTTATTCATTATTATTTTTATTAAGTATTCTCTTCTCTGAAATCTGAATTGATATTGAAAATAAGGAGTTATGCTCAACTCAGTAACCAGTTAAAAGTAATTTAAGTGTTTGATAAGATCTTATGTAAAGAACCACTTGTATGTTAATAGTAATTAATTACATTTCAGATTACTTGATATTCTGCTTCAAAGATTGAGCTCCACATCTGCATCACATGAACCTATGGAACATTGAACACCATCAGGGGCAAATAAGAGAAATAGGATTTCTCTAGTACAAGTTATCATCAAATTTTTGGCCTAAGTTATAAAATGCACTCAACAACAATGTGCTTTTATGTTATGTTTAAACACTATATCAAGGACACTTGTAAATAAATATATTTACCATCGAGTGGATAGCCTTGCAATTTGTTCTTTTTTGAGAAATATACAAGATAAAAATACAATTTATTGATAATACAAGGCCATTGGGAAAGTTTTTCTCTGGTCCACTCTTGAGTAACAATTTTACATTATTTTTCCACAACATTTGTTTAACTAATAGACATCGAAGTAAGTATATAAAAAGATTTGTAAGGTTATTGACACCAAATGAGATCAGTCGCACAGGGCTTAGGTCACCGTCTATTTATCAAGTCGTGATTGTCAAATATCCGGAGATTTCCAGACAAATATTCGGACATTTCCGGAGACTTAATCAAACATGTTATTTCATGCATATGCGTTTAGAGGTTAAATATTCAGTTGTCCACTTGGGAAGACTTGATATTTAGAATATGTTGAAATGTCTTTTAAAAATAGATTTCCAAAAGCTGCCAGTTTGAAATTTCTGAAGGGTTTTCATCACATATTTCTGAATCAATTAAATCTGTAACTCTGTTCTAATTGGTCTTTGAACGACCTTGGTCAAAATAAAATTTGTTTTTAAAATCCAATGTTTTTGACATGGTGGTTGTAGATGGATAGATATTTATTTTCTGGGCAATTTCAACTTTATTAGTGGAGCCTCATGAGCCTAATCCTCGAGATCCCCGAAGCTCGTGGGTTCCTAATAGTACTGTAGATCCTATGCCGCGTGAAGTTAAGTGCTCGCGTACTTTGCTGACTGCCCTAGGGCAATGTTTACCGAACCTAACGATGACTTTGGAAAGACGCTCATTGTGCAAAACGCAATTAAACTAGAAAAATGTTCACGAGGACATTCTTTTACTCGAGCATGAATAGTGCATGTGGAAGTCACAATTGTCTTGCGTACTATTCGCCGTTTATCTTTTTAAAGATCCAAGTACGATACCATCCTTGACTGTCGTCAATTAATGCCACAGTTAGGTATTACATAATAAGGCACTGTCATCTAGGCCTAAATATTTGCCAAACCAACGTGTTGGCAAACATACAATTTCATTAAATATCTGGAAACAAATAACCGCTGTACAGTCTTATTTCAGAAATATTTCTCGGCGGATATTGTTAAAACAACAACCCCAATAGATTGCAATGAGCTATTTTCACAAAGGATATATCCATATGGAAAACAATAGCTGTTCTGTGTACAGTCTCTTTTTGATAACAACAAATGTGACGAAGACCTGCGTTTAAGAAAGAATAAAAGCGACAACGATCAGATAACTTGGAGCAAAACTATGGTTTGATGCAGCCGTATGATAAACAGGGCTGTTGGTGATCAACTTTTGCGATCGTACATTTCCAGCAACAAAGACTATTGAACAAAAAAAGGTATGGAATAACCGGGTTTTGATGAAGATTTCGGAATTTCAACAAAATGTGACATTAACTTTTATTACGTTTGTTAAATTTAGTCACAGTTCCTGCTGGATGGAATAAGAGATTGTAATTAATTTACGGCAATTTGAGTACCACCGCATGCAGTTATTTACATCCTCTGTTCGGACCAGGAACAATTGTTCGTACTATCACAAAGCAAATTTTGCGCTGAATTATCACTATATAAAATAAATTTGCCTTGGAAAAAATTATCAGAATGATGCATCAGTGATGTAAAAAATAGATGATTTAAAAAATCAAAATTCGTTGTAATGCACCAAGGCTAGAAATGATGACCGAGCGATCATATTTAATTTTACTGTGACTGAACATTATTTAAAGTTCAGTTTTAAAAACCTCAATTGGATTCAACGTTTGGAATTAAAGAGTTAACCCTGTCCTTACCATTCATAAGTTGAGGGTGAAGTATTTGAAAAATACTAAGATTTCGTTATCAAAGTGGGTTTTGTGCCTATAATTTGAGCCATGTCTCAAAAAAAAAAAAAAAATATATATATATATATATATATATATATATATATATATATATATATATATAACCTCTTATAGGCCTCCTCTATTTTAGCAAAACATATACTGTCAGTAAATTTGCAAACAATGGTTCTATTAATCAAACTTACGTGGATTGTTTTGTTCGTTGGAAGCTCAGTACAAACAGTTGTGTTCATCTTGCAGTATATGGTTTAAGATAGTAATAAGGGTTGAACCACGATTTTATGTACTTGTTATTTATACCTTTGTCACTTCCGATCAACTAGATTAATTTTGGAAAATCCATACTTCACATACATGCATAGTTCACATAAATGATCCAAAGAAAACTCGGTTCAGTTTTTCCATTTTTTTTTCTTTTTTAGGGAAGTATTGAGACAAAATGAAATTCATTGCGGTCTTTACGCTTGCTTCTGCACTTCATCTGACCACGGGTAGGTTCACAATTCCTTTTATACGCTTTGCAAGTTAATAAGGCACAAGTTTGAGAATAATAATAATAATAATAATAAGTATGATAATCATCAATCAATATTAACATTTCCATTGATATTATTGACAAGAATAACAATGATAGTATTCTTGAAACAGGCTGTGCACGCTTGTCGGTGGTATATTGACCAAAGTAAGACAAAGACTTCAACTAAATACCAAACAATTTTAAAAACATTTCATCCAAACCATCAAATTAATGTAATTTGTAATCCTTTCTTGGTATTTTAATTATTGTCGCTTTTGTCTCTCTTTTACCCTTAGCTGCTCCGGACAATCGAGGCACCGAATTTTTACTAATGTTCGGAGAAAACCTAATTATCAGCGGGGAGGACTTCCTTTTGGAGCTTTTTGTTACCACCTCCTCTACTGACGTGGTGTTTGTAAGTATCATCATATTTCTTATCACCAGCGTCACTTGAATTGTTCTTTTCAGCTGGTTTCACCTGGAGTACGTCATTCCAAACCCTGATGTGACACTCGATAATTTCTCGAAGAAGACGCATTGAAAAAAGGCGCGTAGTAATTTACCAAAGCAACAATGCGTTTCAAGATCAGTGCCCAAGCACCTTTAAAATAGTTCCATAAGTAACAAGACAATATACCTGTGTGCATGTACCGGGTTTTATATGTAGAGCGTATGGTGCGTGTGCAATAACCTCAATAATTTGTACGCGGTTCTTTACGTGTTTAAATACGACGACGTCCACTTAATGACCGAATTTGTTTTGATTTTTTTTTGTTACAGTTCAACGTGAGCACTCCTCAATGGGTCCATAGCGACAGCGTTCACATGGAGCTTAACGTGACCAGCGGTCAGGTGCGGCAGATATTTCTTCCGCAAAACTTGCGACATTTCGGCTTCGAGAGAGCGTCAAAGGCCGTTTGGGTATCTGCTACGGATGAAGTGGCTGTATATGGTATCAACAAACAAAAGAATTCCTGTGACGGATTCTTAGGTCTACCGACCGATGTATTAGGAAAGCAATATTATACGGTGTCATATTCACCTGCCAAGCGCCGCTGTCAATTTGGTAAGTCTTCGAGAAACATTTGTCGACTGCAGAAATAGTGAATTCGCTGAAATAATAATAAAATCCGCTCTGGGTTTTGAGGATACCAACGTGCAAGAAACAGATCTCAAGATTAAAAGATAAAGTTTATGTGTTATTGTCGAGACATGCTTTATCAAGATCAATTTTGATGACGTTTCGAAACATTGCATAGAACAAAGTCAACATAATATTTTACATGTGCTCAAAATGCTTTAGACAAGCGCTTTTATTTACTGATATTATATGTTTGGCTCATCCTTTTTAAATTATTTGCCAACTCTCGTTAATGAAACCTTAGAGCATGATTTATAATTCCTGCGATTAAAGTCAACATTATATTTTACATGTGCTCAAAATGCTTTAGACAAGCGCTTTTATTTACTGATATTATATGTTTGGCTCATCCTTTTGAAATTATTTGCCAACTCTCGTAAATGAAACCTTAGAGCATGATTTATAATTCCTGCGATTATTTTTTCAAATTATTTATTTATGTATTTATTTATTTAACTATTAATTAATTAGTTAATTTTTAAGTAGGCATTTTACTAATTACTAAATTTTACTAAATTCTTCCTGTCAATCATTCTAATTTTGATGAAAAAATGAAAGAGAAAACTTTTTCTTCGGTTGTTTCGTAACAATGGGCAAACTTGGACATTTGACCTGGCAGAGTGCAATCCGCTGTTGCTATCGCTTTTTCTCTGAACATTTATCATTTTGTAATTATAAATTACTTGTGTGTCGGACACATATATATGGTCACTGTTCAGTCAGCGTTTTTATTTCCCAGGAATCGTTGCAACCGAAGACAACACGAACATTAACGTGACACTAGGCCACCAGCAACACCCAGTAGGCAGCGCTACGAATGTGGCGTATGAAGGAGTGAATTATGCCAATGGGGATGTCATGCACGTGGTATTAAACAGATTCGAGACCATTCAGATCCAGGCCTCAAATGAATACGACCTCACAGGATCATATATAGACGCCAACAAACCCGTGGCTGTATTCAGCGGGAATCTGAAAACCAATGTCGGCGATGGAAGTAGCCAAGACCACTTAGTCGAACAACTGATGCCTGTCGAAAGTTGGGGCAAGAGGTTTGCCACTGTTCCAATACCTGGTAGAGATATCTACAAACTAGGAGACGTGTTCAGGTTTGTTGCCAGTGTGGCAAATACTACTATTTCAATGACAGGGATTTCAGACCAAGGGGCAGTACAGTTAAATTTACCGCACGCTGGCAGTTTCATCGAACATGTCATAGGGTTTAACGCAAGTAACATATACACCCTCATTGAAAGCAACCATCCAATTTTAGTAGTCCAGATTGTTCAAAGCCAAGTGAAAAATAATGAACCAGCAGATCCCACCATGATCCTGATACCGCCTGTAGAACAGTACGCCTCGGAGTATGCTTTTGCAACACCAAAGTACAGCAGAGGATCATACGAAAACTATCTATTGTTGATAGCTAAAAGCTCAGAAGCTAGCGGCATCCGTTTGGACACTGCCCCGCTTGAGAATGACGTAGTATGGCACGCGATCCCGGGGACTGACTATCAAGGTGCTACGGTCTTGGTAGCCGAGGGAACGCACATCATAAACCATGTTTCACCTATCAGTTTGTTTGGAGTTTTTATGTTTGGAACAGCACGCCTTGAAACTTACGGATTTCCTGGAGGCATGCGTATAGCACCCATTAATGCGGTAAATACATCAAAATTTAAATGGTCTTTTTTTAATAGGCAACACAACGCCTCAGAACACGCTTTAACCATTTTCCGAGCTTGAAGCTAAAATCATCAACACTTTCTGGTGTAGATTTAAGTAATGACACTTTAAACTTTCAATGATGTTTGAACATAATTTTCAACTGTCGTGTTCTGTCATTCAAAGTTTACCATCGTTATCATTTCATATCTCTCCTCCACAGGCCTGCGTACCCTCCACAATGGTAGGGGCAGATGGTTTTGACAACGACTGCGATGGAAGAATCGACGAGGAACTGTGTGATAACAATATCGGTGGGCTTTTATTAATATCATTGTTTTTCATTAATCGAATTAATCTGAAATTAACTGCTCACTCCTACACTGTCTTTGCAGAAATGTGAAGAAAGAAGAACGCAACTAAAATTTGGAATATGCAGTCAATATGTTTGCACTATGTTGCTGCAACAACCACAAAAGCTTCAAAGTGCAAAGAAATCCCTGTGCAATATATTATAGCACTGTATTACGTATGTTTTATTATCTATCGTAGATGATGATAACGACGGGCTGCAGGACGAAGATTGTGCAAATGAAAAGAGCACAAGTAAGTACATTGTATTTAAGTATATTGTTGTAACCAAACACCTTGTAGATGGGTAAAACGGTATTATGTACAAGCACCAAGAAACACTTTTGACTCGTGACCGTAATTATAATATTGAAAATTGAGAGAATTGAGAGGAGTATTAATAATTTTTGCGAAAAGAAATTAGTTTCAAAGGACAAAAAAGTATTTGATTTTAAAGATATAATAGAAGTTTTTAACGCGGTTCACATTGGAATTTGAGAGCAGGCGAATACATGTTATATTGGAACAAACGTCTTAATAAATCATTTAAAATGAACTTTACGGCAATTATATTACCAATGTTTGGTTTGAAGCCTTCACCACTAATGAAATAGCTACTTCGACGGTTGAGGCGCCAGCTACGACTGTTGAGGCTACGACGACAACCACGACCATTGAGACAGCTACTACGACCACAGAAGCGCCGACTTCGAGTTCTAAACCATCTACTACGATTACAGAAGAACCAACCACGACCTCTGAGTCAACTACTACGACTACAGAAGCACAAACTTCGACCACTGAGGCAGCTATTACTACTACAGAAGCACCAGCCACAACCACCGAGGCAGCTACTACGATCACAGAAGCGCCAACTACGATTGTTGAGGCTACGACGACTACAGAAGCGCCAACTACTACCACTGAGGCAGCTACCACGACTACAGAAGCGCTGACTTCGACTGCTAAGCCTTCTACTACGACTACAGAAGAGCCAACCACGACCACTGAGGCAGCTACTATGACTACAGAAGCACCAACTACGGCCACTGAGGCAGCTATTACTACTACAGAAGCACCAACTACGACCACAGTGTCGCCAACCACTACTACTGAACCAGTTACTACAACCACAGAAGCCCAAACTACACTTATAGTGTCGCCTACTACGAACACAGGAGAGCCAATTGCGACTACTGAGGCGCCTTCAGCGACTCCTGAGGCAACTTCGACGACTACTGGTGCGGTTACAACTACTAAGTCTTTTACTATTACTGATGCATCGACTACTACCACTGAAGTAACTAGTGTAAGAACTTCTAACGCAGCTACCACAAACACCGAGACAGATACTGCGATTACTGCAGCAGCAAGTAAAACTACTACTTTCACAGAGGCAAGAGAAACTGGCTCTCGTGCCAGATCTACGACGCCCAGTGGCTCTAACGGCACTTCAGCATTCCTCGTCACCAAAGAAGTTTCTACTGTGACAACCAAAATGAATACAGATGCTGTGTATGTGACGGCTGTGGAGGACTTGAGGACTTCAGCTGCAGCAGACAGCACCTCTGAAACAAAGACCACTGACACCAAAGGTTCTAATGATAGTGTAAGCATTTCAGCTGAAACAACACCGGCAGCCGCCACGCAGGCAGCGCAGCCACTTGGCGTCGCCAACAAACAGTTTCGCATAATGAACGATGATGGATCCCTTACGGCTGATGGCATCTCTGTTGTCACAGTCAGTGTGGTACCAGCCGTAAGCCTGGCTGTTGCACTTGCGATTGGCTGTTGTTATTTCTTAGCAGCAGGAAAGGTTCATCCCAGAGAGGATGATGAGGAGGAGGAGCAGGAGGAAGAAGACACCGTTTTGGTGTAGACACACGAATTACAAATTGAGAAAAGATTAATTTTGATGTCTCCCGTCATATATTCAAAGATATTTTTTTTTTATATACTGGGCTATGTGAAAACAAAATTTCCAAGTGATGACCTTCCAGTTTAATTGTTCTTAAGATGAAAATGCATTATAGAGAATCACTTTACTGTTGATATATTTTTAATATTGTCATAAAAGTCAAAAAAGAGTGGTAATATGTATACTTTATTATCAAATAAATCTATTTACAGATTGTAGCGTTTAATCATTGAAATATCCAAGACAATTGGTTATGATACAGAATTTAAATGTGGAACTACAGAGACATTTATCAAAGCTCAAGTCACAACTGTATACATACAAACATTCATACGTGTTGCATTATACCATGAAAATAATAACAATAGAACAAAACATTATCTGCTGTATTATGGACCTATGCTTTGCAATGCAGCACTTCCCTCCTCTTTCAAGATTATCTTTCATTTTGTCACACTATCTTTATTTGAGCTTGCTTATTATCAAACACAAAAACACACCGGTTGCAGTAGAAGAGTCTCTGAGCGAATAGCAACATCTCTTGAGCAAATAGTTGGTGTCTGCTTTAATAACCAGAAAATGTTGAATATTCAAAACCCACAAAAGTATGTTAATATAACATTTTTATGATTAAAGTTCATTCTCAGATACTGTGGTGATTCCCTTAACCACCAACAACCTTTAGATAGACTGGACAAATATGAAGTTCTGAGACATCTGCACTGACACCATACATGTATAGAGATTATGAAATAAGGATATCACAGGCATATACTGCATAGTTAAATCTAGTCTATAAAGAGAGTGACTGCAGGTTTTAAGAAATGGAATAGGTACTTACATCTTTATAAAAAATCTCCATATACACATGAAATGTACACTGAGAAGCAAAAGCAAATTTGTGAATGTGGTAGGTAAAATAATAAAGAATTTGGTATATAATATGTGCTATAAAAACACAACAGTATATAAGCTGGACTGTGTGCATTTCCTGCACAAAAAAGTGATCTGATTTGTGTTACGTGTGCTAAAAAGATTTCAAATAAACCAATATAATATGACATTGAGACACAATCCCTGAGATCCTCAACTTGGGTGGGTTTCTACTGACTCCAATTTATATCAGTGGGGGATTTCTACGTCATTGAAGACATACACAATAAGGTTTCAATATATTATCTTTACATTGATTTTACAACAGTATTAACTCCTCACATTCCCATGGGCTGTTTAAAAAGCTTCATTGTTGAACTACTTTCAACAATAGCCCAAACCCTAGAATCACAACTGTTCACTTGCGCTCAGTGGAGTGTTTATAATTTCTGAACTACCCCCACCCCATCCACTAAGATTGTCCTGCATTCAGATACTGATAAGGATCAGCTCTGCTTTCCTAACATACGATACTGGATACCACAAAGTATGTTTAACAATACTTATTTACACAATATTGTTTATGTATTCATTTATTTTGTGTTTGTTTTTAGGGGCAATCCACATCAATGCCTCACTACACTATGGGTAGTAAACTCCTAGGTATATTGAGCTCATGGTAATCCTAGAGTATAAGGATATCAGAGATCTAGACAAATTGCGTCACTCACCATCTAAATAAACAATCCCATTATTTTGAAATGTGTGTGTAAAAGCTATTAGCTGTCTATCTTGACAAACACTTTTGGTCTGGAGAATATCTTGATTGCCTCCTCTACTTCTGCCATTTTGGTTTCTAGCTCCTCCTTTTTTGTTCTTACCCTCAAGGTGTCAGACCTAATGGGTAGTGAATTCAGCTGTCGTAGCAGTTCTGCTTGTGCTGAAGAGCAATGTAAATGATATATTGGCATTATAAATTTGCATACTAGAGTTACTGAAACATGTAGCTAAAACACTATTTAAATGAGTGTTTTTAATTCAAGAACATTAAGTAGCTTGTATATAGCAATATGACCCAACAATTTTCTCACTTACAGCAGTACAATAATTTAAAAATACCTATAACTTTAATACAGACCCTATGTAATTTTGCATTAACCTCTATAAATTTCTAGACACACCTCTCACCACTACATACACATTCTGTCCTATTACAAAAACTTACAATTAAAAAAAATTAATTAAAAGCATTTCAGACTGACTAAGCCACTGAACATCCATGGGTTAGTCATGTTTGAGACCTATCCCCTTAAATCACACATACTCTCTTTAAGCTGGCCCAGAGTGACCAGCCTCTCCTCCTTTGGCATGAGTTTGTGTCCTGGGGGGAGGTCAGGGTCTGGACGGTTTTTAATGCGGTCCTCTATCTCTTTTTTCCACTGCTGTTTACGGTCTTGCAAGCTAAAAAAACATTGAATGGTTTGAATAATGGAGTAATGCAAAAAAAAAAAAAAAAATCTCCAAAACTATATATATATTTAATCCAATATTAGAAACAAGTTTAAGGTCCTGTTCAAAAGGCAAATCATTTTAACATTAGGTTGTGTTTTTACTTCAAAAAGCAGACACTTGCAATTTCCTTTACCCTTACTGCTCTCCAAACTTAACATTAAGCACCAGTAAAAATACAAATGTAACAAAAATGCTAAACCCCATCTTATAAAATTCAGAAGCCAAAAGCTTAGTAACAAAAAAGGTGTTCATAAATTACACATTTACACTTGGTGGTTAAACGCAACTTAAAAGTAAAAAATTGCCCTTACTATTTAGGAACTTTCCCTCTTTCATATTGTTGTAATTCCTCTTCTTTTTTCTTCTTCAGATCATCCAATGCAGTGAGGCTAGGGGCTCGCTTCATTTGAGAGTACTTAGCATTGTGACCATTGATTCTGATGAAGTCAAAATTGTTTCTTTTAAGCGTCTGAAACAATTAGGTATCATGTAACTTTCTGCAGATGGAATGACTAAAATTAAGACTAAACATAAATATAAGATTTTTTTTTTAGAAAAGATTTATGGGTAGTGAAAAGAAAAACATTTTTTGCATCATAAAATAAAATAGAAAGAAAATATATCTCAAAATTGTTCAACAAGCATATCAAAATGAGTAAACTTGTTTTTAAAATAGCATAGTCACTTATAAATTGTCAATTAGCATAGTAGATTATGATCTTTATCCGCCAATTGGTAAAGCATAATACTGACTGATGAAGCTCTTCCTGATTTTATGACCAATCAAAGAAAAGTTAACAAATTAGCAATCAAACAACAGCAAAGTCGGATAAAAGCGATGCTGCAACTTTTTTTGTAATCATGGAGGACATTTATATTCAGGCATCAAATTGTATAATTAAACAATCACAGACTTTGGCAGAGGTCAATATGTTGCTTTGAAGACCCCAGAAAAGTAATATCAACAAAATCAGCATTCCTTTAGTGTACGTACATCAGCAGCACTAGATGGTCGTGGTATTGGAGACTTTCCACGGTGCTCAGGTGCCTGGCACCGTACGGGGGATGGTGCACGTGGTTCCTTAGATATAGCACCACATCGTGAATGTGATCGTAAGAAATTTGCTGAATGTGGCCTTGGTGCAGGTGGTTCTTTCTAAGGAGATAAACACATAGCATTACAAGAAATATTCCTTGCTCAAGTAAATCCTGATTCAAAGTAAAAGACACTTGTGGATAACATAAAATTTAAATATTTGATAAAACTATATAGGTCCATATTTATACCGGTATTAACCATAACATTTTCTTTGGTATATATTCCTATAAATCTACAAAATTTAACATGAAAAGTTGGAATTCAGCTTGCCTCTAACTCTTCAACAACTTTGGACTGGACATCTTTAAATTTTTCAGACTTCCACAGGGCTTTGACTGGAGTTGGTGGCTGGGCTGCCTCCTGTTCCTTTTTCCTTGACTTTCTCTGTATCTGCCTCATCCTTTTCACATTCTCAGAAAAGTGGTCTTTAGGTGGATCATCTGTGAAAATTTTAAAAAAAAAAGAGGTCATCAGCAATGTACAACAAGGTCACTTCTAAATTAACACAAGGACTGAATCTACAAATTACTATCACCATTCAACATATTGTGAAATTTTTATAACCACCATTTTTACGTGTGACATAATCAATATAACTTTTCAGGAAAAAATCAAGTTCATAAAGTTTACTAGTACTTTCTCTCATCCACGGACAACAACAACACACCCATACTTACTCTTTTTCCACTTTGATGGTCCCACAGCCTTGCCTGTTATCCCCAGCATAAAACCTATAGAGCCTCCCTGTTGGGCAGTGGCTATGTGGGAGGCCTCTGGCTTCACCCTGGGCACTGGACGGCTGACATAACTCTCTGGACGGCGGTCATCATACATAGGATCACGGCCAATAGGATTCCGTGTCATATAAGAAGTCATCCTGGTTTGTTTTTTTTTTCTCTTCTTTTTTCTAACCTGGATTAATCTGGATGAGGACAGCTATAAAATGAAGAAAGAGGGCTAAAAATCAAAACTAATATACATGTATGTATGTAATCTTTAAGATCCAAATCTCATATATCCTATTAAGCTGGCAATTTAAGGAGACAAAATTTAAAAAAAAAAAGAACACGGTAGGTTCATCCATATGTCGAAATGTAATTTGACACTGATTTTACATCAAAATTATCAATAAAAATTATGTATTAACACATGAATTTTACCGAGAAATATCCCCATTATAGTAAATATATAATGAGGTAGGAAACAAACAATCCACATCAATGCACTAGCTGAGTAAAGCAGAACAGGTGAATAACAACGGACCATTCACAGAATGGTTCATACACACATCTGCTGCATGTACAATCGGTCAGGATGGATGATTCACGCAGAATGGACCGTACACGTGACAGGGGTATAATNCAGCAGTTCTGCTTGTGCTGAAGAGCAATGTAAATGATATATTGGCATTATAAATTTGCATACTAGAGTTACTGAAACATGTAGCTAAAACACTATTTAAATGAGTGTTTTCAATTCAAGAACATTAAAGGGATAATAACTCTTCGTATGAGATCTATATTTCACAATAAAAACATTGTGAATAACTCATAGAAATATAATATATTCCGTTTAACCACAAAAACGGCAGTTATAGCTATAATTCTGATATCTGAGCTTGTCTTTGGACCACTTGACCTCCATTGATGGCCATACTCTGTTAAAATCTCTTAAGAGATTTTAACAAAAAACCAAACTTTTTAGAAAAAAACCAGGGACTAATTTTGAATGTAAAAATGGATTCATTAATCATTGGTAAGTATGGGAAAATGGCTGTTTACTCCAGGAAAATTCATTTTTTGGCCGAAACGAAGAGTTATTATCCCTTTAAGTAGCTTGTATATAGCAATATGACCCAACAATTTTCTCACTTACAGCAGTACAATAATTTAAAAATACCTATAACTTTAATACAGACCCTATGTAATTTTGCATTAACCTCTATAAATTTCTAGACACACCTCTCACCACTACATACACATTCTGTCCTATTACAAAAACTCACAATTCTAAAATAAATTAATCAAAAGCATTTCAGACTAACTAAACAATTGAACATCCATGACTTAGTTAAGTTTGAGACCTATCCCCTTAAATCACACATACTCTCTTTAAGCTGGCCCAGAGTGACCAGCCTCTCCTCCTTGGGCATGAGTTTGTGTCCTGGGGGGAGGTCAGGGTCTGGACGGTTTTTAATGCGGTCCTCTATCTCCTTTTTCCATTGCTGTTTACGGTCTTGCAAGCTAAAAAAACATTGAATGGTTTGAGTAATGGAGTAATGCAAAAAAAAAAAATCTCCAAAACTATCTATGTATATTTAAGCCAATGTTAGAAACAAGTTTGAGGTCCTGTTCAAAAGACAAATCATTTTAACATAAGGTTGTGTTTTTACTTCAGAAAGCAGACACTTGCAATTTCCCTTCAACCTTGCTGCTCTCCAAACTTACCATTTAGCTCCAGTAAAAATACAACTTAATCAAGTTAATGTTACAAAAATCCTAAACCCCATCTTCTAAAATTCAGAAGCCAAAAACTTAGTAACAAAAAAGGTGTTCATAAATTACACATTTACACTTGGTGGTTTAATGCAACTTAAAAGTAAAAAATTGCCCTTACTATTTAGGAACTTTCCCTCTTTCATATTGTTGTAATTCCTCTTCTTTTTTCTTCTTCAGATCATCCAATGCAGTGAGGCTAGGGGCTCGCTTCATTTGAGAGTACTTAGCATTGTGACCATTGATTCTGATGAAGTCAAAATTGTTTCTTTTAAGCGTCTGAAACAATTAGGTATCATGTAACTTTCTGCAGATGGAATGACTAAAATTAAGACTAAACATAAATATAAGAATGTTTTTTTTTAGAAAAGATTTAAGGGTAGTGAAAAGAAAAACATTTTTTGCATCATAAAATAAAATAGAAAGAAAATATATCTCAAAATTGTTCAACAAGCATATCAAAATGAGTAAACTTGTTTTTAAAATAGCATAGTCACTTATAAATTGTCAATTAGCATAGTAGATTATGATCTTTATCCGCCAATTGGTAAAGCATAATACTGACTGATGAAGCTCTTCCTGATTTTATGACCAATCAAAGAAAAGTTAACAAATTAGCAATCAAACAACAGCAAAGTCGGATAAAAGTGATGCTGCAACTTTTTTTGTAATCATGGAGGACATTTATATTCAGGCATCAAATTGTATAATTAAACAATCACAGACTTTGGCAGAGGTCAATATGTTGCTTTGAAGACCCCAGAAAAGTAACATCAACAAAATCAGCATTCCTTTAGTATACGTACATCAGCAGCACTAGATGGTCTTGGTATTGGAGACTTTCCACGGTGCTCAGGTGCCTGGCACCGTACGGGGGATGGTGCACGTGGTTCCTTAGATATAGCACCACATCGTGAATGTGATCGTAAGAAATTTGCTGAATGTGGCCTTGGTGCAGGTGGTTCTTTCTAAGGAGATAAACACATAGCATTACCAGAAATATTCCTTGCTCAAGTAAATCCTGATTCAAAGTAAAAGACACTTGTGGATAACATAAAATTTAAATATTTGATAAAACTATATAGGTCCATATTTATACCGGTATTAACCATAATATTTCATTTGGTATAAATTCCTATAAATCTACAAAATTTAACATGAAAAGTTGGAATTCAGCTTGCCTCTAACTCTTCAACAACTTTGGACTGGACATCTTTAAATTTTTCAGACTTCCACAGGGCTTTGACTGGAGTTGGTGGCTGGGCTGCCTCCTGTTCCTTTTTCCTTGACTTTCTCTGTATCTGCCTCATCCTTTTCACATTCTCAGAAAAGTGGTCTTTAGGTGGATCATCTGTGAAAATTAAAAAAAAAAAAAAATAGGTCATCAGCAATGTACAACAAGGTCACTTCTAAATTAACACAAGGACTGAATCTACAAATTACTATCATCATTCAACATATTGTGAAATTTTTATAACCACCATTTTTACATGTGACATAATCAATATAACTTTTCAGGAAAAAAACCAAGTTCATAAAGTTTACTAGTACTTTCTCTCATCCACGGACAACAACAACACACCCATACTTACTCTTTTTCCACTTTGATGGACCCATAGCCTTGCCTGTTATCCCCAGCATAAAACCTATAGAGCCTCCCTGTTGGGCAGTGGCTATGTGGGAGGCCTCTGGCTTCACCCTGGGCACTGGACGGCTGACATAACTCTCTGGACGGCGGTCATCATACATAGGATCACGGCCAATAGGATTCCGTGTCATATAAGAAGTCATCCTGGTTTGTTTTTTTTTTCTCTTCTTTTTTCTAACCTGGATTAATCTGGATGAGGACAGCTATAAAATGAAGAAAGAGGGCTAAAAATCAAAACTAATATACATGTATGTATGTAATCTTTAAGATCCAAATCTCATATATCCTATTAAGCTGGCAATTAAAGGAGAAAAAATTAAAAAAAAAAAAGAACACGGTAGGTTCATCCACGTGTTGAAATGTAATTTGACACTGATTTTACATCAAAATTATCAATAAAAATTCTGTATTAACACATGAATTTTACCGAGAAATATCCCCATTATAGTAAATATATAATGAGGTAGGAAACAAACAAGCCACATCAATGCACTAGCTGAGTAAAGCAGAACAGGTGAATAACAACGGACCATTCACAGAACAGTTCATACACACATCTGCTGCATGTACAATCGGTCAGGATGGATGATTCACGCAGAATGGACCGTACACGTGACAGGGGTATCATTTGGGGCTTTACATACAGGTAATATCATAACTCTGCTGGGGAGAGTAACCATGCATGCAGAGAAGTAACAACATGGAGGAGTAAGGATGTGGAGACATAAAGTGATGACCCCCTTGACCAGAGGGATGATACTTGGATACACGCTCGGCTGTCACCTTGATTGGATAGTAAACGGTTGTCGTAAAATCGTTAAAAGATATTAAAACCCGGTGCATAAACTTGAAAACCACCTAGGACAACCTTAGACTGCCACATTAATCCAATACATTGCAAAAATAAACTATAACAAGTGGTTAAAGCCTTCAAACCGAATGTCGTAAAGTCCCCATATACCTCCATAGAGACAATAAAATAGAATAAGCTTCTGAAACAAGAAAAATCCAGTTCCAACATAATAATCGAAATAAAATACTGCCGGGCATCGGAGCGGCCTAAAACTTGGCACGCTTACCGCTAATACTGCAGGCTACATCATCCCGTCGCTCGTTTGTAAATTCCGTGCATGGCATACGCACAATCAAACCGTATATCCAAATTCCACCTCTGATGTTTGAATTGGTCCTCTCTA